ACACACACACACTTTTGAAAACCAAATGTAGTATGGTGTAGACATTGAGAGAGGATATTGTTATTGGACCCAAACCCTTTAAAAATGCTGCATCCGACCTTGCGTACCTTCGCATTAAATTCCACATTCCGACGAAAACATTTTTTATATCTTTCCACTGTCCGCGCCAACGTTATTCATATTAAGGGTTTTACGAGCGCTACAGACAGATCTCAGACACCACAGCTGAATCAGAAATAATAACAAAACATTAACTTGGTCAAGCGAGAGACCAAATACCTATGTATGGTCTCTGGTCAAGCAGTTTAGACAGTATACCCTTACCCTCTTAGAACTTAGACTGAGAACAACACAACAGAATGCCAAATGGGAATGGATATTTGATATGTTTATTTGTCTACAAAAGGACAACCCTCCGATAAAACATTATCAACATACATATATATATATATATGAAAGACAGACTTGTAATCATCTTACACACAAAAGGATATATACCAGGATATGATACCCCTTAGAATAAAACTATTTGTCAGCTCTATCAAATAACGCATTTCTTTTTCTTCACGGAAATATTTGCTGTATGGAAATGTTATATTTCAGACTTAAACTTGAAGAAATAACACAAATAACCATATATAGGTTTTGCACTTACGTATGGTGGGACAGCAGACTAATTACAGTCTTGAAGTTTGTTGCAATGGGTTCTGGAGTATAAACATTTTTTTTTCTAAATAAAAATCACGTCACAGTTTCCTGTAAACACAAATTTCTCTTTCATCTTTCTCAGCATGTTTTGATAAAGAATCTGTCTCTTACAAAAAAAAGGTGCCATTTCCCTTTCCTGAGGTTAAACTACGTCATAATTGTGAGCAATAAAACACAGATGCCTTAAAACAAAATGGACAGTTTCCTGTTAATAAAACTGTGTGCATGTGTGGATGCAAAACATGAATTGACTGTAATTGAAAAGGAATATTAACATTTCTGTTTACAAGAAATATATCTCTCATATTCACACATAACATGGCGGTCTTCTGAAGACAATTCATATCTTGTTTTTTAACATCTTAGAGGGAACAATTATCATTTACAGAAATGAAAGGTTAGCCTCTCAACCATAAAGTCAACTGCTTGCATAATGTCTATGAAATCATAATGTGAAGACAGTATAGCATAATTATGCATAAGTGTACACATTCATATTAATTGCGAACACAAAGTTCGAATCAACATGTACAGATAGTCAGAGGAGTTGAAACAGTGTAGCTTTTGATCCTTATACATACAGATTCTCATTGCCATTTATTTTGTAGTACATGTATCCCAAACTAGTCAATTGCAATTATTTCTCAAATTAAATTATCCTACCAATATTCCAATAATTTTGCCATTTGATTAAATAAAAAAACATGCCTCATTAGATATTAAAATATTTTTGTGACATTTTTCAATTGAATTATTATATTTTGACCATTTGCTTTTTTGGACATGAAACACATCAGTTTCTAAGTTTACCCCTATCTGGAATTACACAGGGGAGAAGTAACCAGTTACGTACTGCAGAATCAAGATAATCTAAAAAGTGTAAAATCTCACTGGAACAGGGAATATTTTGTCTGTTTTCTTGCCTATCTAAATGAAGGAATATTTTGTCTGCACACCCAGTTATGTTATACTAACTCCTGACTTCAATGTATAACACTGAAACACTGAAACCCCTCATCCATTGATGCACATCACTAATGTGTGCGCACACTGAGTTCCATAAGCTTCATGATATCACCTTCCACAAACTGCTTCCCAGCTCTCTGTTAACAATTATTAACATTGAGACAGATTCTGATGCTATTGTCATTAATCTATTTTTAGTAAATACTTGTGTTGGGAATGCTCTTTGCACAACACCCCTTTGTTTTAACAGTGCAAGGCAAAAAAAAGGATATTTTTAAACATGTATCTAAATTTGAAAAATATAAATATTCCTTTAACTCTGATCAAGAATATCTTAAACTTTAAAAATTTAGTTAACAAACTGTAGTAAACTGTTCCTCATCACCATAGGCATGTATGCTGCTTTAAAAGACTGAAATTAAATTTTGTTCATATTCACAGAATAAAAATGATGACATCACTCCATCCTATAATATCAGTGTTAAAATACATCTCTTGTAAACATCAAATAGGGTATACATCTTTTGTTATAAATGTTAAAAACATCAATAAATGAAATATCATGTATGTTAATAAACATGAGCTTCCAAACAAAAGGGAAATATTTGGAAACTCTGTCCCCATTCACAGAGACTTAACGTAAGATCTCACAAAAATCTTGATAGATTGTTATATATCTTCACTATCTGTCGTTAAAGTTAATGCACGTCACAGTTCAGGTAGTTCATAGTACCTCCAGCCATTGTTACACACCATTAAGACATATTGTGTCACACATATATCAATAATCTTGTTATCTATTGATAAAAGTACACAAATCTAAAAAGACAAATTTAATAATATGAGATCCTGGATTTCCGGATTTCCAATTTGTTAAGACCTGTGGAATTATTGAGACATTTTGGATTACGGAGGCGAGAACTAGCATTCATTACACAGAAGGCAACGACTAAGAGCCTGGAATTATTTGTCCTGGTATATTGCTTACAAATTGCCAAACATTTTCAAGGTAAGATTTTCATGGATAATTACAACAGTAAAACTTGGACACAGCAAACTCCAAGGAACCCTGAAATCAGTTATCTGAACTGAGGTCGAAGGTTAGAAGGATAAGTCAACAAAACACAAAGTGAACACTGTTATACAGTTAGTGAAACATCTATACAATCAACCTCCGAAAGTGACAGACACTTACAGAATCAAACTAACAGAGCATGGTTCAACCTTTGATACTTGAATACATGCAATTAAAGACATGAACTAAACACACAAAACAATGGGACTTGCCACATTGTTGGGCTGAGTGATTCATAACCTTCACTGGTATACCACAATGTAAGTAAGAACATGAAATACTTAATACGTAATATAATATATGAATAATACGTCTTAATAATCTGGAAAGTGGACAGCCCCAAATTGGATGATCGCTTTATAACATACAACTAAAAAAAAGCATGACAGATTACTAAAATGAAAGAATCATGTGGTCCTTTATTTCTTTAGAGTAGTATAAGCACCCACAGCGATATTTGCTAATATATTGGATAGTGAACAATCCCAATTAGCACCCCTTCCGATTGATCAGTGTACACAAGACTTATTTATTCGTGTATAGTACGCACTCATGTGTTATATGCATCCTTAATTATAAGGGCAATTAAATTCTGGAAAATATATCTGTCATGTATGATACTTTTCTTTTGTATCATTTCAGGCTGTCAGCAAAAACCACCACATTTACGATCTTTCAACTCTTTTTTCTCACCAAAATTATATTCAAATAAGGGTCCCCTTTTTCTAATTTTGAGAACGCCCCGGGCGCTTATTACGTCGAATAAGGTATATGAAATTTTTCAGTCCCACTATGTGGTGTTGTCTTGAACTAACATGAACCCTGCTTTTGACTGCTTTATCCTGAAGAAAGCATTTGTTCCATAAACACAGGCTCCAGAATGGGGGTTCATATACTAAAGTGCATATTTCACAACAACAAAAGTATATCCAAATTTTGATATAATTAATCCTAAATAGTTTATTTTGATCCGACGAGACAGAGACCATATCGGTATATGGAATCTGGACGAGTGTATCACAAAAGATTTGTCATGGTTTGATATATGTCGTTCAACCCTACTACATTGAACAAAACGTAACGGTACAGTGTTGAGGTATGACATTGTACAGATTATGCAAACATCTGCCTATCATCAGGAACACAAACTTGCATGAGGAGATACATTGTGTTATACGAACTAGGGACTACGGCATCTATCTGTCAGATGGGTGACAGACATATTCTTCCAGTGCGTGCAGTCCTTTGACTGATAGTTCTACTAAAGAACCAGAAACAATATAAATGGAATTAACAAGACTAGATATATATTTCAATTGTTTGTAAAATCAATGAAATTAAAACTTCACTGGGTGTGTTGGACATATTGTGAAGTGAGAAGGGAGATTGCCATCTTCAAATGAGCCAAGGGACATAACTCTAACATGAATACTGGACTGACATATATTTCAGACCATCTATTGGTATATGGTCTTTGTGTAGAGGCCATAAAATTTTCGAGTCCCGTGATGGGATTCGAACCACGGACCTTCTGATCAGAGGTCGGATGCCTTGTCCACATGAACAAAGAGGTTAACCCCGTCAGCAAGTTGACAAGGTAAGGATGTCATCTGTGGGATGACTCCACGTCCTGCTACATACTCCCCCGTCAACAGAAGGCACGTCCCGGGCCGCATAGTTGGGTACTGAGGCTTATTTTTCTCAAATCTAATATGAACATGCTCAGCCCCATGTTGGGTGCCAATGTAGCGGCCATAAGATTTCCGAGTCCCATGATGGGATTCGAACCACGGACCTTCTGATCAGAGGTCGGACGCCTTGTCTACATGACCAAAGAGGTTAACCCCGTCAGCAAGCTGACAAGGTAAGGATGTCATCTGTGGGATGACTCCACGTCCTGCTACATTTGCATATACCTAAATGACATTGTTCACATGTTAGTGACTTTAATAGTGACAAGGTACTACACAGGACATTGAGTAACAAAGACAATGAGAATGCAATGGTCTTCATTTTAGACATGTATGCTCTTTATAACTGCCTGTCATTGATGTATCAAGGAAGGATTTGAATGATATGGACCAGTATTTTTTATGGTGGGATGGGTGTTCCAAAGGAGATACTTCAACACACATTGTATTGAAAACTTGAATTATATATATTGTTTAAAGTTTAAATTTGTTGTATTTTCAAAAACTAAACATTCTTGTTGCTCAGACCTTCTTTATAACTGCCTGTCATTGATGTATCAAGGAAGGATTTGAATGATAGGGACCAGTATTTCTTATGGTGGGATGGGTGTTCCAAAGGAGATACTTCAACACACAATGTATTCAAAACTTGAATTATTTATATTGTTTAAAGTTTAAATTTGTTGTATTTTCAAAAACTAAATATTCTTGTTGCAGAGACCTTCTGAAGTCAGTCTCAGATGTCACTGGTGGACGGATGACGGAAAGTTAAAAATGGACAAATATTTACTGATGGTCAGCCCCAAAACAATGCAGATGCAGGAGGGCATTCTCTTGGATGGAAGACCGCACACCTACTCACCCCAAAATAAATGTTCAGTCCCTTAGCTGAACAGAATTAATAGTAAATCCCTACTATTCACTTGAGTCATCAAGTGTTTGATTGGCATTAAGATTGGTGGAAAATGAAGACTTGAAAATGTTAGGAACAACAGAAGTTGTTATTCCATGTGAAAACAATAAAGTTGTTAGCCATTGACAAACAGTAAAGTTGTTATCCATGACAGTTTCATGTCTTCATTTAAGTTATAACGACAAAAGTTATGAAGTACTTGGTTCAATTTAAATCTGCAAAAGATTTTTCTCCTCAAATTGGAACATCAGGCTTTTAATGATGTTATCTTTCTAAATTTTAATTTTGTTTGTAATAAAGATAAGTGCAAACATGCAAGACAAAGGGACATTCAACGGTCATTCATTTGTTCTGTTAAAATTATGTTAAGTGTTGATAAAATGTAATCATATGTACATGCTATGCATGACAATATAACACTGACAACAATGTCATGTAATAGTGTCATGTAACAAAGTCCTGTAAGTGTCATGTAACAATGTCATGTGTCATGTAACTGTGTCATGTAAGTGTCAAGTAATAATGTCATGTGTCAAGTAATAATGTCATGTGTCATGCAACAATGTCATGTAAGTGTCATGTAACAAAGTCCTGTAACAATGATGTTAACAAAAACATCCTAACAAACATGTAAGCAATGGATACATTGTAATATAACGCCAGACACATGATATACGTTTATCGACATATTGCCTCTCTAGAATAATATTACCCAAAATATATCACTGTCACTATTTAAGAACGTTCATTTTTCCATTTTCTTGTCTCTAAAACGTTAAACTTTTAATTTTCAACAACACTTTGTACATGAGCACCAAATATTCTAAACTCTGCAAGTTCATTAAAACAGATATTACAACAAACACAATCATCAACATCAAACATACAAGCAAATGTATATAGTTTACAAGAAAATAGCTTCATCACAACCGTTGATATGTTTCATATTGGTATGAAAAACACCTAACTTCAACTGGAACACACTCACAACTGATATACAGATATATAACAGTGGGGTTAAGCACTAAAAGTTATATAACAAGCAAAACACTTTTAACATTCATAAGTAAAACTGTTGGAATGCTAGTAGTATCACAGACAATTGAGAAGTGTTTCACAAGCAACAAGCTACGTAACTAATCAAAATTCAATTGAAGCTGCCAATCCCAAATCCTAACAAGAAAATATTTACACTGAACCTTTGGAATTGATTTTCTGTTATTTGAAAGTGACATAATTACATGGTCAACACCCTGTCAACAATCTGTACATAACTACCTTTCCTCTCATTTACCAGCACAAAGGTTCTATTTTGACAAACCTGTCACAGCTTAGTAAATATGTTGCTGTGACCTATGACTGCATAACATCTATTCCTATTAAACCATATATGAATAAAATCTTTGGTGAAATAAAGAAATTTTAAAATCAAATTAAATGTGAGTTAAGAATTGACAATTAAGTTTAATCTCAAATCAACATTGTCACAGTGGTCATATATACTACTGAAAAGAAGTTAAAGAACACCTGATTCCTTCATACTACTATATTTAATCTGCCATGGCATATTGACTATAGTAATGTGAAGAATCATGTGCTCTCTAACTCGTTTTGAGCAGTATACATTTCTTATTGCATGTGACAATATTGTGCTGGTATACCTAACATCAAGATAGGAAATGTGCACAAATGACAATCAAATACATCTGTGAAACCCAGCTACATGAATATACACACTATTCAGAAATATTACAAGATTTGAAGGACATTTTTCCTCCTACAAATGTAAAATTCAAAACTATGAAACAACTGTGAAAAAACATGTGGATATTCTATTTTGAGAATATTTTGGCATTAGAATCACACACGATGTACATTTAAGCCAACTCTGTCGGTAGATTACATATTTCCTTTGCCTTGTTTTTCAGGATCTTCCAGGGTCAAACCCATAAAACTTTCTATTTCATCTCACAGATTCACTACAATACTCAATATTCACACAAGAATACCAAATCAAACTGTACAGGGTAATTACAAAATATTTCTAAATATATTACACCTTTTCAATATCAAAAACATTTAAAACATTTGAACACTACTGGCCAGTCACAGCCAATTGCCAAAATGCTGGGGACTGAACTTTCAACCAACATATCGACTCATTACTGAATGTGCAATGTCACCTTCTCACATATGCAGGATAATTCCTCTACAGCTAGTACTCAGAAAGAACATTATTAGCCATCCCAGCCATTTCACAGAGACAAGTCCTCCTTTAAACTTTGATTAACATTTGTTCATGAAAACTCAAGACAGGCAAACTGTAACATGTCATCCTGGAACCTTGTTCTACCCCAGATGCGCATCTGTGCAAAGTGGGATTTTCTGATCCAGTCTATCTGTCAGTTATTGGTGAGTAAAACAACACATCAAACACACAGCTCTGCTTCCTCCTCCTAGTAAAGCTGAATTGTCCTCCAACTTTGGTGAAAAGCGTAAAGACAATGTCCTCAATATTTGTAAAGAAACGAAGACGAAGTCATACTGAGATCAACATCCAGTGCAGAACAAACGTATGTCAGGGGAATGTATAAAGAGGACAACTGGACATCACTTTCAACATAGAACTCATCAATATTGTATATAAATCAAATAATTAATATTTTATGTTTTATTACCACAGGTAACCATCAAACCTACATGGACTATATAAACACTGTAGGTATCAACCTCATGTGATTAATGCTCTTTGTATTCAATACTTTGGGTGGCATTTTATTTGTGCTCACGTTGTTTCGACTGACAATATCTTTGATATAACTGAAGAACATAACTGCAGTTCTGTCATCAATTCATCAAATACCAACAGTAATTTTTATAGCATCACTGTCAATAAACACTGAAATCAATTTTGGTCAACATTCTCTTCAATCTCTGAGATTGAATGGTTATTTTTGTCATGTGTTAAGACATTGTGAGGGCCAAGAGCAAAAAACACAATATTTCTATATTTAACATGGACCATCATTTCAACACTATATATGGAGGCGCCATTCACATCTAGGTGAACAAGGGTCTGAGGTCATTAGATAAAAATAATACATACATACAAACACTTACACAGGTGCTATCACATTCTGGCATAAGAAGAAGCTCCATAGAGATGGGGTCCTATTCTTTGGATTCATATTTTAACTAAGAAATAATGTAAAATTACACACTAGATAACATCTAGTAAGTAAGGATAATTTCAGAATGTTTGTTCAAAAATAAACTGTTTGGCAAAAGGATGTAGTTGTTTCTGAAAACATGGACATTGTGAAGGCTTCCTGAAGCAAGCTGGATGTATTGGTTTCTGAAGACTGTTCACTGTAGATGTATTAGTTTCTGAAGACTGTTCACTGTAGATGTATTAGTTTCTGAAGACTGTTCACTGTAGATGTATTGGTTTCTGAAGACTGTTCACTGTAGATGTATTAGTTTCTGAGCTTCTTAGTTATAACCATTCCCCATTAGAGTCTTTTGCTGTTTTTTCTTTAAGACATGACGAAAGTCAACTTGAGAGGGTGAGGATTCTACAACCCTTCTGAGAGTTCCTTCCCCAACATCAATGTTTGTTTTCCGAAGTTTGGCTCGGATATCGGTAAGTGAAACTTGCTTTGCCACAAGCTGAGTATCATTTCCGATATGGTTGTCACTTTTTGACTTAGGCACATTTCTATCTTCAGATCTGAAAAACAAGAAGCAGAGCATATAGTTTCTGACATTTTTCTCTTAAAAAGATCATTCATAATTTCAAATTTGTCATTCAATTATCCACATTGCACATAAGATACAGAAACATCATTCACATTACTTTACCATCAGTACTTATAAGGAAATAATATGCGTTTTGAACACAAACTGTTTTTCACATAATTATGTTATCTAGATAAAATAGGTTTCTACATTTCAATCTAATGAATCAAATGAATATTGTAGTTTTACAAATATTCTTGATAACTCAAACAGTTCCAGAAACAAATATCTGTAACATCAAGGCTTCATACTAATACCCTGTCGTTAGTCACACAACTGCAAGACATTCACGGTCAGTTGAACACTTCGACTCAGTGTTTCAAACATTACATGCCACAAGACAGACATAAAACTGCTATCAGTGGAGTAGAACTATAATTAGCATGTGCATAAACCCCAATCAAAGCAAATATCCACGTGGGTATTCCAGTTTAGAATAGGTCCCCAGCAAACTAGCCATGCTGGCAACCAATCAGGTGGTCCGACTCAGTCACTTGGTTGACAGCATGTCATCGTATCCTGGCAGTGTGGATTACTGTTTTCCATATCAATCACTGGATTGTCTGGTAAAGACTTGATTGTTTTCAGGCCGCAGTCATATAGCAGGAATATTGCTGAGTGCGACATTATTTAAAACAAACAAACAAACATCGTGAAATGCCATTTTAATCAAATGTGTCGGTAAGTGGGATTGTGAGGTCATGTGGGAAGTCATCAAATGGATCATATATTATCATCATTGAAGTTAACATTAGAAAATCCAACAAATATCGTAAAAATGTTACTTTGCACAAAAGGAACTTTTAACACAGTATATACAAACATAGATGTATAGATATGAAATTTGATCTAACATGGAAACTTCTGGTAAGGTAAAATCTTAACACTTGAAATCCTTAAAACCCCTAGACATGTACGGAAGATGGTTTGAACCAGTTTCAGAGGGAAAGGATGGAAATGTGGAGAAACAGTAACATTATGACAGTGAGTTAAGTGTAAATAAACCTTGTGAGTGCAAACTTGTGCCTAAATGTTCAAGATTACCTGGTAACCATGGTTACAGATGAGTTATCCAAACACTGATAGAGATAATTAAATCAGTCAGTTTCTTTTAGAATGGATCGTTGTCTGTTTTATAAACAATATCAAGAGATAATGTCATCTAATCATGACCAATCAATATCTCTTTCAAACAGATTACAGAAAATAGTACTGGTATGTGAAGGTCCTGGTTGAATTGGTCTTCAGCAGCCCATAGCTGTCGTAAGAGGTGACTAACAGGATCAGGTGACTTGGTTGATGCATGTCATGGTAGAGAAAATTAATGCCTTTAATGTCAATCACTGGACTGAATAGTCCAGACTCGATTATTTACAGAGAGCTGTCATATAGCTGGAATATGGCTGAATGCGGCATTAAACAACAAACAAAACACATCTGTACTGCCTGACATTGCAAACTGCTTCTGTTAGAGACCACAACAAATTAGATCCCTGTTCATGCAGGGTCTTTTTCTCTTAAAATTGCAACTTTCGTGATATTTTGCAATGACAACATACATTTCAGAAAATGATTTTCAAAAAATGTTTTATAAATGGATCAGTGGAAATCAGTGCATCTTCATTTTAAATTAATAGTATTTGATTTTTCTTCATTATGAGAGACTTAAGCAACAAATGATACCTGTCCTGCTATTAAATACAGTCATCACTGGTGGGAGGTTAAAATGAAAAAGGTATCAATTTTGTTGTGGCCTTTGGCATAACTTATGCACTCTTTACCTCATGATTATCCTGGGTACATGGTTTTGACAGATGCTTTCATGAATGCCTATGGAGGTTATTTATTCTCCTCTGATTTTATGGTACAACAGTAAACTACGATTATAACAAACACGCTTATAACAAACTGACAGATATAATGAACTTATTTTTTAGTCCCGGCCATTTGCTGTATATGTGCTGTATATATGCTAATATTACGAACTGTGGTTATGAAGAACTAAAATTAGTGGTCCCTTTAAGTTTGTTATAACCATAGTTTACTGTACCTGATTAGATAACATCAGTTACCAAAACAATGAATTTACTCAAATAATACCAATAAATTAGTCAATTAACCATCCTGCCAACTTCAACAGTAGGAAGATCATCAAGCTGACAATATGTAAGATATCTCTGTATCATAGGGAGCACATGTAAAAATCCACTGTGCCTAAGAAACAAGGAAAACTGTTCTACTGAATTAGTTCATTCCTTGGAAGTCAGCAACAAACACACCCACCTTTGCAAGTCTCCATTTGTTCCATTCTCCAACAACCCGACATGTCCCCCTCCGTTCATCATGGGCATGGTCTGAGAGTGAGGCAGTGGAGGAGGTGGGGGTGGTGGAGGAGGAGGAGGGGCACCCGTGGGTGAGTCCATTGTCATTTCCAGGGGTGGAGGTGGGGGAGGTAGATCTGGGTCGTGACCATAGGAAACATTTGAAGTGTTCTCTTCCTCTTCATCCTCATCGTACTCCTCATAGTCGACATGCACTTGTGACTGCATCACGCTCTTCCTCCAGAAGCTCACCACGCTGGCAGCCATCTCCTTCTCCAACCTCTTGGCCATTTCATGAGGGTCATTATCCTCTTCGAAAAACGCTGACTTGTCAGTTGTGAGGTCAGTCTCGACAAGTCCGTTGGTAGGGTACTCAATCTCTTCATCAGAGCTGGGAAATAGATTAAAGTATTTGTCCTTTGAAAGGTCTGTCATGAAATAATTTCTGGATTCAAACAATGAAAACTGAATTAAATATTAGTATGCTACACATATTAAAAGTGACTAGCATTCATGCAAACTATTAGTGCATATAAATGTGCATATTGCGTTTCATCCAGCACCATCTAGTTGATCCTGTGAGATTCTCACTTACAAGCTGAAGCTGCTAGACATGAGACTGTTAAGGTGAATTCAGTAGTTAGTTACAGATGGTATTCTATTGCATGGAGCAGATGTCAAATCTGAGAGTTTCATATACTCATCACCACTGAATGAAGGTGCATATATACTACTCAAAAGAAGTTAAACAACACCTTTTTCATGTTACAAAAGTTGATCTGTCACGTAAATTTTACTATCATTTGCAAGGCCGTAGTTAACTTTTTTGGACAGGGGTGGGCAAACATTTGTACAAGTATCACTTGTCCCCAATTTGTATTTTCATGATTCAAATAAAACTGTCATCTATAAAAAATCCAGGGGGCAACTGCCCCCCCTGCCCCCCCCTGCCGGCTACGGCACTGATTTGACAACATACTGGTAATCAAGTCCACACATGAATTTCTGATCATATATAAACCATCTGTGAGACATTTTGGTACAGAAAATAACCATTAATAAGTAAAGAATAAAGCTATCTGATGGCCATTTGCCATCTTGTACAAACCCATACAAGTAAATTCCAGTTTCTATGATATCATAATGCTTGATATAATGTCACTGCTTGTCACATCCTAACTGACCTTCAGTTAACAGTTTGTTTTACCACCCTGAAATTTTGATGGTGGTCACAGGATAGATTTTATGGCTACACATAAATATTTTACCAAAAATATGTTTTTAGTAATATCTGAAGTGATAAATGATAAATTTGCATGTCACTACCCAGGAATAGGAATTACAAGCAGAATGTTCGTGTTGTGAAGAACAAGACAATTCAGTTAATAACATTCTGCACACCCCATATATGACATCTGCAACTGGTATTACTGGGTACATAGTTGTCGCACTGAACTTTCAATACAAGTTTACAAATTTTAGATTTTTATGAAAAATGTGAACTTGTTTTGCATGGGCAAGCCATGAGTAGAACATACATGCAACTGTGGCTACATTTAAAGCACTTACTCTGTCGCCATCTTGTGCTTGAACAGTAACATGTGGTGAGTTTTAATGCTGAATTTTTAGTAGTGAGTTTTTAATGGGGAGTTGGTCAAGAAGCCAAGTAGTATGAATGCTGGTCAACATCTGATCACCAGCTACATGGGGGATGTGGTACAGAACACAGTTGCATCAACATGCACGGTGCTTTAACCCATCCAACCATGTCTTACAGGGAGTCATCCCTGAGCTTCAGTGATCCATTCATACACATTTCTCTGCAATCTTGCCTTACGCCCCAAAGGAATCTTTTTCGGCGGATGATGAAGACTGGTTATTCTTTGGTGTTGATGTTTTATATTTACATGTACATTATACAGGTGCCCCTTCAGTGGTGGTGGTGGTGAGTATATCTCAGATGCTGACAATAGCCCATACAGGGTTGACATTAGGCATGTTTCAATAGGCATAAAGTTCCAAACCTGGGACACCGTCATTAGTAGAGATTCTTATCTTCAAGTTTCCTCATTAGGACATCATCATAACCACTGTTGATAAGCAAACCAACATAAGAAGGCATTCACACGTGACCATGGACTAATGTATTCACACATCACCATGGACTAATGTATTCACAAGTGACCATGGACTAATGTATTCACACATCACCATGGACTAATGTATTCACACGTGACCATGGACTAATGTATTCACATATCACTAAGGACTAACGTATTCACACATCACCAGGGACTAATGTATTCACACATCACTAGGGACTAATGTATTCACATATAGCCGAGACTAATGTATTCACACATCACTAGGGACTAATGTATTCACATATAGCCGAGACTAATGTATTCACACATCACCAGAGACTAATGTATTCACACATCACCAGGGACTAAGGTATTCACCTGACCAGGGACTACTTTTTTCACACATCACCAGGGACTAATGTATTCACACATCACCAGGGACTAATGTATTCACCTGACCAGAGACTAATGTATTCACATATCACCAGGGACTAATGTATTCACCTGACCAGAGACTAATGTCTTCACACATCACCAGGGACTAATCTATTCACACATGGCCAGGGACTAATGTATTCACACCCCTGTTGGCGGTTCCCCTACAGCCCACACAACACAGAGACCAGTACTAACTCAATGTCCTGCGATGCAAGTGCCCGTTCCCGTGCCGATTGTAACGGAGCGTCCCACGCCAGGTTAGAGGAGCTGCTGTTTTTAGGTAAGGGCTTGGCGGAGTCACCCGACTGGAGGTCGCAAGGCTTGCTACAGGCCAGGACAGGAAGTGAGCCATCAGAGTTACAGAGTTAACACAATGTTACTGAGGCAGGTACCCATGGGTTGTTGACACCAAAGGATACGTTCTAAATAGCTATTTCTATTGATACTTTCAGCTCCAAGTGTGTTGGGCGTGTGTGCACTGCATTGTCAGTGAACATCCTCCTGAATGAAAAAGTCTCAACTAACAACTTCGACATCCAACCTTTTGAGGCATATATAAAAAACAAAATTATAAATACAAGAAATTACAAAAAAAATGTGGATGTTTAAAAAAGAGAGCATACTTTCAGCATTTTGATTTTATTTTGCGAAAACATAGGTCCAAATCATCTGTAAACCTCATAGAATTACTGAAGCCTTGATAAAAGGTATCCCACCTACATTAATTTTCATTGCTATAAATCCCAAACGTTTTTATCTATTCAGCATTACATTATTAAGCTTCCACTTCTTTTTAATTCAGAAAGCATAAATCTAGAAAAAACAAATGCAAAATGTTTGTCAAACAACACATGAGTACCATCCAGTGTTTAATGTCCTATATGTGATATGCAGATATTCAGATGCCATATAGCCTAATTTGCAATGAATATCCATTAATTCTGGAGTCAACAACACAAAATGTTTTAATCAGAGAGTACCCATGGTGCATACAGGTGTGTACAGGTGTGTACAGGTAGGGTGCTAACAGATTACAATTGTAACAAAAGGTATCTGACAACAACATGCAACAACTGAAGCTTGAAAAACAACAACACAAAGTATTAAAATTGTAAAAATAACAAAATATAAATTGACTTCCCAAATACCAAGCACAAAAGGACACATATGAAAACTGTTAAAAAATCAAGATCGTTAATCAAAACTTTGTTATATCAAATATGTACAGATGAAAATTATCTTAAGCAATATTTAAGTACAATGGCACAATCAAAGCAGCTAAATCATGTTTAATAATAAATTACCTTTTCTTTCTAGCAGAAACAATTTCAGCTCTAATTCATGCATATATTTGCATATATTTGGACAGAACCACATACCATAAAAAACCCAATGAACATCCGTTATAGAAATGATAAGCAGTACACATGTTTAGCATGGAAAGGATAGGCAAGGAGGATGCTCAACCTGAAGGCCCTGATATAAGCACAGTGTATGTTAGTGAAGTGTGTTACATGTCTTGGAACAGTACTCAGTTACCACAGTATGTCACCTTCACGTTCCAACCAAGTTCAGTAAACCATGGCCATAGTGAAAGCCTTGATTTAATGAATAAGCTACTGAAATACTTGATCTGATATGTGTTGGGGATACTGTTTTACCAGGAGAAAGTCTAAAGTCTCATAACTAGTTTTGCTTCTGGGGTTCGTTTTCGGCCATTAGGGAAGACCAAGTGAATACTGTGACAGACCTTTACCACTTTGGTGAAACAATGAACATTGGTTTGGGTACTGGTTGGGCAGGATCGAGCTGCTCGGGTTGGGTTGGTAATGAGTAGGACCCGTGTACCCACAGGACTATCCAGACCCGTGGTAAGTCAAGTGATAGTGTTGATGACAAAAATTCACTCAAGTCACACGATTGACTAATGGTTGCTTTGCTTTCTGCCTGTGCACACATTCCTTCTGATTTATATATGTTTGAATAAAGATAAAGCTTTGCATTGGTCAGTTTCAGTGTAAGCATGACCACATTGTTTTTTCTGGTATCTAAATACGTTTAGCCAGGGCTCTAGTAAAGTTTGTTTGTTTGTTTGTCTGTTTTTCAATGCCGCACTCAGCAATATCACAGCTATATGACGGTGGTCTGTAAATAATCGAGTCTGGACAAGACAATCCAGTGACATCATGAACATCGATCCACGCAATTGGGACCGATGACATGCATCAACCAAGTCTGACCACCCGATCTCGTTAGTCGATTCTTTGGACAAGCATAGTCGCCTGTTTTGTCGCCTGTTTCTTACAGCAAGCATGGGTTGCTGAAGACCTAGTCTACTCCGCATCTTCACGGGTCCTCTAGTAAATGAATTCCCAAGCAGATATTTTGTAGCCAACTTTTGAGACCTATAGCGAGTGTAGGGTCAGGTAATAGGGGGTCGGGTACCCGGAGAGTAAATTTGGACTCGTCTCAGCCCTAGTCACTGGTGCAGACAAACCCTGTATCATAATACAGGATTTGAACCAAGCACCAATATATCCTGGCTCTGCCAAGGTGCAACTTCTTGTCCAGCTGTGCTCCGACATACCAGTGATGATATTTTGTGTGTTGGTTTGTTGTTTAACGCCGCACTCTTCAATATTCCAGCTATATGACGGTGATCTGTAAATACGCGAGTCTGGACCAGACAATCCAGTGATTGACATCATGAAAATCGATCCATGCATTTGGGATATGATGACATACCACTTTGGTGAAACCCATGAGTATGTTTGGTGCTGACAAACATAGAAATATACTCAGGGTGAACCGGAATTTGAACCCACACACGCAGGCCAAATTGATGCAACTCTGATCTGCAAATTGCAGCACCTTAGATGACTGGGCCACCCCCACTGTCTACCAATATGATTCTGATATTGAATTAATATATTGAATCGAACATTAAGTTACAGAGCATTGTTTGATCAGGGCTCAAGTCCACAGCAAATAAAAGCATGCACATGCACAAATGATGAGTTATCAACAACAACAAAACTATTTGATACATGAAATTACATCACTAGGGAAACATTGGGAGTTCTAGTGCACTCATGAAGTACACAAATCTTATCAAACAGACCGTAACTTCCTGAAACTCACATAATCTTTACAAAACACACTTCACACCATGAAAATAATAATTTGTTCATTAACACTTATATCATATTTATAAAAAAATACTTCACACTACAAAGCAATGAATTAAGAGATATAATTCAGATCAAAACTTCACACCATGAATGTCCTCATCAATACTTCATGGGCTTGTAAACACTCTGCTCCTCCATCACTAGTGAATATATACCGTATTCAACGTAATAAGCACCCAGGGCGCTCTCAAAATTGGAAATAGGGGGCTCTTATTAGAATATTATTTTGGTGAAAAAAGATAAATTTCGTGGTTTATGGTGACAGCCTGAAATGTTTATGTACGAGAGGTATATTTTCCCAGAATTAAATTGCCCATAATTAAGGGTGCATATAACACATGAGTGTGCATTTTACGCGAATAAATAAGTCTTGTGTACATTAATCAATCGGAAGGGGTGCTAATTGGGATTGTTCACCAGCCAATATATCAGCAAATATCGCCGTGGGCGCTTATTAGAGCGGGGCGCTTATTATGTCAAATACGGTATGGACACAATGTCATTGCTAATCTTCACCAATGCAATAAGTAAGTGAGTGAGTGAGTTGGGTTTTTAACGCTGCTTTTGATAGTATTCCAGTTATATCACAGCGTGTCAGCTAAATGTGGGAGGAAAGCCCAAAGTGATGCCAGTCTCAGACGTTTATCACTTCGGTGAAACCCACGAGCACAGGTTAGAGCTGAAAAACCTAGAAACATAATCAGGGCGAACCGGGATTCAAACCCACAATCATAGTTTACTGGCTTGCCCAAGGAACGCAACTCTGCACAGCAGCGCCTTAGACGACTGGGCCACCTGTGCCCCAACACATTAAGCAGAAGCCTGGGGAGGGAGCTAACAAGTGCTCAGACCACTCAGTTCTCAGTAGGGTTGGGACGGGAAACTCGGGTTTGTTTATTTGTTTGTTTGTTGTGGGTTTTTTTGTATTTTATAATGCCACACTCAGCAATATTACAGCCATATGACGGCAGTCTATAAGTAATCGAGTCTGGACCAGACAATCCAGTGATTAACATCATGAGCATCGATCCATGCAATTGGGATCGATGACATGCATCAACCAAGTCAGCGAGTCTGACCACCCTTTCCCGTTAGTTGCCTCTTACGACAAACAAATTCGCCTCTTACGGCAAGCGTGGGTTGCTGAAGACCTATTCTACCCAGATCTACACGGGTCAGGTAACTCAAGTACACGTTTACTCAGTAGGGTGGGTACTAAGTACGACCCAGGTACCTACAGGAATACCCAGACCTGTGTTTAGTCACGTGATATATTGTTTAATGCCAAAAATTATCAGGAACTCTTTGGTTGCACACAAAAAATCACTAATGTTCGCATTTCTTTCTGACTATGCACGCATTCCATCTGACCTTTATAGGTTTGAATAAAGATAGAACTTCAGTCAACTTCAGTGTATGCATGACCAGATCGTTTTATACGTGTATCTAAATACATTTTACAAGGGCTATGGTCAAACTATTCTCAATCAGACATTTTGTACCCAACTCTAGAGACCAACATGGGTCCCTTGGTAGGCTCGGGTAATAGCAGGGTTTGTACCCAGGTAGTAAATTTGGACTTGTCCCTGCCCTAGTTCTCAGGTTACATCACCAGGAATTATTGTAAGATTCAAAACAAGCAAATTGGGGGAAAAAATAATTTTGTTCAAAATTGGGAAAACAAATTAAGTTATAAATTTCTTAGTTCAAGGGTACTTCAACATTGTCTTTCGAGACTGTATTCAATGCAATAACATAACACTAAGCATGAAACCTCTTCCACTTTATTGGTCCTGTTATCAGAGAAATGGCTCCACAAAGCCACAAAATGCATTATTAGTTATATATATTGACATGAATTGGGACCATTTTAATTCCAATTTGGGAATTTTTAATGACATTTGCTGTAGACCTTGGGCCGAACATCGTCCTCTGAGTTGGAGTAGATAAATCCCTGATCAACCAAATGTTTGACAACATCTGCAACATGTGCAATGGCATTGTTTTAATGTCAGGCAACAGAGCGTTTTGCGCAAAGTTTATTCATGGAGTAGAGGGTTCATCTGACTTTCATGAGTTTCTGAGTTTCATAGATATGCTATAAATTGCAAAGAACAATGAAGAACGAGGAATGGTTTAATTCACGATAAAACATTGTTCTATTATGACATCATTTCTGGAGATTCGAATATACGCTCGCAACTTGATGTCGTAAATTGGACAATGTTATTTTTGAGAGGGTAGTGAGTTGTTCCCAATAGCTGTAGCTGGGCAACACAGATAAATGCAATGGCCTAACAATCGCATCCAAAAGTGGGAGAGATATGACAATCAGAATTGGGAGAAAAGGTACAGATAATCACTGTGAGAATGGTGAGAATATTCAGGAAATACCAAACTGAATTCCTCTGTTCATAAAATGAACTTGTCCGACATTGCCATGGTCCGAGTGCATTCAGAGAGTCATCATTATTAAAATTAGGGTAAATAATTTTAAAGCTTGTACATTTTAATAACATCCTTAAAGAGGCTTACATAATGTTGATATCACATATAAAAGATAAACAACTCCTGGTCGTCGTTTATCGTACAATAAAACACTGCAGGGAGAATAAACCACAAGGGCATATTCTCCCTGCAGTGTTTTATTGTACAATAAACAACTCCCCCTTGTCTATTTCTTATATTAATGGCTTCAGTTCATTTTATAAATGTCCTAAAAATAGATTTGCATCATTATTACACCGCATGTGGCAGTATATTATGGGCGGCCATTCTGTCCAAAAATACAAAGTTGAAAAAGAACATCAGTGTATATGATAACTGCATGAGGAGGTGCACAATGTAATACGTCATTCCTTGTGCACTCACCGTCTGACATATATATATATATATATGTATGTATAATGTATAACGTACACATTGTGTATATACATGTATGTATGTATGTATGTATAATGTATAACATACACATTGTGTATATACATGTTGCGTTTATGAATCATCACGGGGCATGGGCCTTTTCATAAATACAGTATACTGTGTAATCCGACACCTGCCTAATTGGTACATGTATAAGTATAAAACCTTCAATAAACACTCATTTAACTAATTCACTAAACTAGGATTAATCTACAATGATCCAATAACTGTTCATGCTTGGTGCATATGTTCACAGGAATTACAGGAACGATGTGTAAACAAGCCCATGAAGTACTGACAAGACACCAGTTACTATATTATATCACACGGGATGTGTTCCTTGAGGTTACATGCAACATGTATGATATACGCTGGTCATGACACAGGCGCCAGCTCCTGCAGCAACACGGACAAAGGAAAGGCCAGGAGAGGCATAGACACAGATAAATAACCATTTACTTGGCCAGGAAAGTCTGAGCTGCTGACTGAGCTAATAGTGCTCGAGAACACAAGGCTGATTGGCTTTTGGTATCCTGCACAGCTTGGACCCTACAAAGTTACATGCCAATATTTGTGAACAATTTGTAGCCTTATATATGTTCATTCTGAACAGAAATAATCAACTTCATAATTTAGTTACTCCCAAGTTAACATGCAAAAAAATTATATTACACATACCACTTATAATGCTATTGGGTGTTTGATATCTGAGAATACAGTTCTGTTGTAAGAAAGGCAATTATATAGATTTGTAGTTTAAGTTCCCATATCCTTCACAATAACTTTCTTTGTTGTTTAACGCCGCACTCAGCACTATTTCAGCTATATCACAGTGGCCTCAAAATAATTGACTCCTGAGACATTGGTCCTGCCCTACACTGAAGGACATGTTTGTTTGTTGTTTAACGCCGCACCCAGCAATATTCCAGCTATGACGGATGTCCAGTGATTGACATCATGAGCACTGATCTACACAATTGGGATACGAAGATCATGATATGCATCAACAAAGTCAGCGAGCCTGACCACCCGATCCCGTCAGTCGCCTCTTACGACAGCATGCCGAAGACCAATTCCAATCCGGAATACCCATGTAGTGATTAACAATAAAGTCTCATTGTCTTGGTGGCGTTATGACAGCTACTGATATCGTACTGATTCTACACAGAGTATTTCCGTGCAGGATAGATTAAAATACAGATAGATGCTTGGTGGTTAGTGTGTTTGTTACTTCATAAAACCGAAATATTAGAATTAATACAAGGCTGTAAAGGTTAATCAAACTGTTCATGACATCCCAGCATTTTAACAAAATGTAAAAAAAGTGTAAAACTCTAGCATCAAAATTCTGATTAACAGCATTTGACTTACTGCGAAGTGTGTCCATTTGTCAGCCCTTGTGTTCTGGAAAAGACAATAAAAAGGTGAATAAATGAATACAGTCGTTCATTCCTTGAAACAAAGGACAGAGATCCTTGAGGAGTTGGAAGAACATGACGACATGACACTTTGATAAAAAAAGGTTTTCATAATAGTACTGATGCAACAGCAAATAAATAATTGTCTTCAAATCTACCTGACATGAAAATTAATGATTCAGGACTAAAGCAATTTATTGATTATCTTAATGGAGGACAAGGCATAAACATACAAGGAATACCAAAATGAACTTCATTAGTAATTTTGCTATTTAACTAAATGCTCATATCTTATTACTGTGATAATTGGATAAGGTCATGTCATCGGGCCAGAGTAAGTGAGTATGGTTTTACGCCGCTTTTAGCAATATTCCAGCAATATCATGGCGGTTGACACCAGAAATGGGCTTCACACATTGTTACCATGTCAGAAACCGAACCCGGGTCTTTGGCATGACGAGCGAATGCTTTAACCACTAAGCTACCCGACCGCCCCACACCGGGGCAGATGGCAAACTGTTTCGAATACTGTCTGTAATGAATGTATGATGCCTGCTTGTACTAGTCTGGACTAATGTCAGTTTTATAGTGCTAACCCACTAAGATACCATGCTGCAGTTTAAGATGGATACCCAACTCCAAGCCTACAAGAACTTGTGTTAGCCCATTAATGCCGAGTGCCAGGCAGGGTAACAACAAGTTCCATCATTTAATGTCTCTTGGTGTGAGACATCTGGGGATAGACACTCCATCCAGGTAGACACTCCATCCTCTATAGGCCATGTACGTGGCAACAAATGCATGAATATCATGATACATATTAAGCAGCTCCATATAAGGCCATGACATTCCAAATTCAACAAAAATAAAGGGTGTAGGCATTTTAAACAAGGCATCTATGAACATTAGTTAGCTGTCTACGGATATCAATCACATGACCCATGACTGTTTTATAGGATAAGGTACATGATGTATTTAAGAAGGGAATGCACCTAGCAATATCCTATATCTCTAGGGACATAGGGACAATGAAATAATGTGAGGTGGGAGTTGATGTTGTTGTTTGTTGTTTAGCTCTGCAATCGGCAATATTCCAGCTATATGACGGCGGTCTGTAAATAATCGAGTCTGGACAAGACAGTCCAGTGACTGACATCATGAACAGCGATCCACGCAATTGGGATTCGATGACATGCATCAACAAAGTCAGCGAGTCCACCTGATCCAGTTAGTCGTCTTTTACGACAAGCATTGTCACCTTTTACAGCAAGCATGGGTGGCTGAAGACCTATTCTACCTGGATCTTCACAAGTTGAGTTGATATTGAAGAAGACAAGGATGAAAATGTAACAATGTCATAATGTGAGATGGACCACTCACTTGTTTTCTCTGACCATGGAGTCATAGTACTCACTCTGCTCCACGCCCATCACACTGGCACTCAGGCTGAAACCACCCACAACACGTTACCATGCAGTAGTACGTACAAGCTCCTACAAGCATCCTCAGGGGCTGACCATTCCATATTCTAGGGGCTGATGTGGGAGGGAGAGTTCGGGAAATTGTTTCATTTACAGGTTACATGGGGTGTTTCCTTAGAGAAAGAGACCTTGTTTGAAATATGCCTCTGTTCATGCAGTAGTGAAGGGTACCGGTCGGAATAAAATGGTGCTGCAAACCTTTTAGCGCAGTTTGTATACTCCCCAGGAAGCTGAGAATGAAATTTGAGTGCACATCATTCCATATTCTAGGGGCAGTGGTGGTGGAGAATGTTTTGGGTGAATTGTTTGAAAAAAATAATATATCTGCTCCTGAAAATACAGGCTTCGTTATGCCGCACACGAAAACACATGTTGCATTGGGTGTCTACTTCGGAGATAGACTTTGTTCGGAATATGCCTCTGTCCACCAAGTAGTGAAGGGTACCCGGTAGGATGATGGTAATGTTGCTGCAAACCTTGGAATTTTTCACATCATTTTTAAAAAATTGCCTGTCTTGAAGTGTTCACTGAAAAAATATTCATCTAAAAATTCCAAACCCCAGGTCCCCCTCCAGGGTCAGATCTACAAAGGGATCATAGCACTACGACTGTTGTAAGTCTATGTTACAGTATGGGAGTTACGATCATCTCAGTGCAACGATCGCTTCATGAAAAGGTGCCAGAATATTAAATGGTCAGTCCCCTATGAAAATAATGAAAAGTTTTCAAGTGGTTTCTGCATGAAATGTTTTAACTTTTCTGAAGGTTCAAATTAAAAACAACAGCTAGAAAACAGCTCCTAGCATCTCAGGGTGTCGTTCCCAAAAGCGATCTCAGGTTTACGACTATCATAACACTAGGTTACAGAATGGGAATTACTATCAGCTTAGCGCTAAGATCGCTTTGTGGAACAAGACTCAGGACAGTTTCCCAGTTTGATTTAAAAATAACTAGAAGACAATTCAGAAATTCACATCACTTCAAAATAAATTTCATTGTTCACCAAAACATTCATTAAAGATAAGATAGAAAAACTCCAAGTTTTTGAAAATACAGAAACAAACCTGAAAACTACATATTTTTCCTTGTCCATTTAGCACATCCAACTAGCAAACAACACCTTATAGGGAAGCTCAGGCCAATCAGCTAGCAAGTTGGAGTCATGTCATTCAAACACAACTTCGTATGTCAAACTCAAATTTTACAAAGCGTATCATCTAGCCATTTAATTATTACCCTACACAGAGACAATTCTAAGTATCACACATGGATCTAAAATGTAAATATCCATATGGCTAATGTCCATGTTACCTCCATCTCCCACAGCTGGAACTCACAAAGTTGACATGAACTGTACATTAGACCAAAGACGACACATAACATAGGTCTACGAATGTCATCTGTAGTCCATCCATTACCATGTCACACACTTTACAGCAATAATCAAATCTAAACCTACAGCCTGTGGTTCCCATCCCAAACAACAGACACAACATGGGTTTATCTGGAAGTTCAAACTAAATGCGGTTGGCAGGCAAATAAGGACAAATATCCAAAAGTTTAGTTTACAAATTCGGATTTGTTTTAAGTTCTTACTTTTTCATTTCAAAGGTATTTTACCAATGCATTCAATGATATAATAAAAAATTAATAATTAAGGCCTCTTGGTCTTTATTGAACCCGTTATCAGCCAAAAACAAGTCCCCAGATTCTGATTTTTGAAATTTTTGTGACATTTGCTATAGACCTAGGCTTGAAAGTCAGCCTCTGGGAATGTCAAGATAAATCCCTGCACAATTCCACATCCAACATCTTACTCAACATGACCAACTGATGTTTATCACATTAAACTAGCAACAAGCGTCTCAAGTCTGCAGGTACTACAAGGCATGGAGGGTACAGAAAGACAGGGTACAGGAAGATGTGCCAGTACAGGATACAGGCGGTACCTACCCTGGCGCCATGTGCACCATGGAGGGCTGTCCAGCTGTCTTTGGTGTGCTGGTGCCAATGACTAGACCCTCTTCCCCTGTCTCCAGGTTAGCAATCTGGGGAAGACAATTGCACTACTGTCCAAAATTGTGAAAAAAAAGTATGCCGTAATCTTATTGGTTGGAAACTATTTTTAAATGGGTTCAAAATTTTGTGGACTGTTCATAGAATAGGACTACTTTCCTTGCTGAATCAATATATTTTTTTCTTTCACTTAAAATAAAATATGAAAACCACTTTATTCATCATGGTATCTTTTGCAACCAAGCAGTTTGGTTGGCATCAATGAGTGAGTTTGTTTAATGCCACTTTGAACCGTATCGTTGGAATAGCTGCAAGATTGCTGATGTGGCGTTAAGCAAAAATTACTCACTCACTTTGAACCGTATTTCAGTTATATCACGCATGTCAGCTTACTGGGGGAGGAAAGTCTGGAGTGATGCAGGTCCTAGATGTTTACCACTTTGGTGACACACACAGGCACCAGTTGGTGCAGACAAACCAAGAAATCTGGGATTCAAACTATCAATCACAGGTACAAAGGAAAATCAAAGTGAAAGGACAAAACTGAGTTTGAAATCTTCGGTAAGTAGGTAAGTCAAAATGGAACTTAAACTTGCATGACACTTAGTGTTGTGGCTCCTACTTACACTGTCGTAATACCCCGTCTCCTGCTCAGACATGAGGCCCTTCTCTTCATGCAGCTTCACCAGATGCTCCGCCCTGGCCTCATCGATGTCCATCTTGGCAATGCGCTCCTGGAAGGTCACCTGCTTGTCCTCGACCTTCACCTCTGACGTGTGACCTTGTGTCAAGGCCACAACCTCAACAGGAACACCTCGCCTCTTGTTGTTATTTCGTTGCATACAGTCAGATGCATCCGTGTTGTAGGCTTCGACCTGAGAACAGAGGAGGAAGTGACATCATGGCACCTCATGCGTGGTCGGACGCCTTGTCCACATGACCAAAGAAGTTAACCCCATCAGCAAGCTGACAAGGTAAGGATGTCTTCTGTGGGATGACTCCACGCCCTGCTACACGTACAATAACATCACACACATTTTTTCTGTACCGATACTCAGTGAGTGAGTGAGAGAGTGAGTTGGGTTTAATGCCCCTTCTAACAGTATTCCAGCTAAATCACAGCATGTCAGCTTAACTTCGAGAGGAACGCCCAAAGTGATGCAGGTCTAAGATGTTTACAAGGGTGGATCCTGGACCCCATCCCACTGGATCCGCCTATGTGTTTTCCAGTTTGGTGAAACCCAGGAGCACGGGTATGTTGCAATCCGAAATGTGTCTTGACTGAAAAAGGTATTACTCTACAACTCTGGGAACAATAAAAATCTCAATAAAAATAAGTGGAAGCTACAACAAGTAACAATCCCTGAAGTTTGTCATGGTCAAATGTCTTGATGCAGGCCTGTCTCTGTTCTTGAATGGCAGGCACTGAGAGTTTACAAGAAGTTATCCAATCCACGCTTGGCAAGTTGATAAAAACATGTCAGATCAAAAAGCTATTGAATCGCCCTCTTATATAGGTACAACAAGCTCTCTAGACACTGTCTTATCCGGAAACTTCTCGAATGATCAAGCCTGCTATGTTTGTAAACAACCTGGGCAGATAACTCTAATCCATTGCTGCCAACCTTTTACTGCCACTTCAATCACTTGCAGCCACTAACAATAACTGCACACTAATTCACAACAGTGTCTTCTGACAAATAACAATAAACTATGAGAGTTCTGACAGTAGTAGGTCTACAGTAACTTCATGGAATGTGGCCAGGGATTATATCCATGTGAGTCACAAGGTCAAAACAGTGCCTTACCAAGCAGTCCTCCTACAAACGTCCTGATACAACTGCCTCACCTGTTGTCCAAAGTAGATGAGTTCCAGTTCCTTCTTGTTCTTGTATTCCTGCAACTGACTGTAGAAAACCTTGGAGCGCCACATACGGAAGTAGGTCTGTATGAGAGTGGCCGCTCTCTTAGCTGCATACAAATTCTGGCGTTTTTCCTTCTCTGCAACAATCTTTGTCTGCTTCTTTCGGAACACTGCAACAGATATCTTGCTTCAATGCACAAGGACTGAACAATGTCATAAAGTTGCATAAAGTATGATACCTGTCTGTGTGAAGGTCTGAGGTCATCTCCATAGGAGGTCACGTCAGTTGACATTGTAATAGTGAGTGAGTGAGTGAGTGAATATGGTTTAACACCGCTTTTAGCATTATTCCAGCAATATCACGGCGGGGGACACCAGAAATTGGCTTCACACATTGTACCCATGTCGGGAATCGAACCCGGGTCTTCGGCGTGACAAGCGAATGCTTAAACCACTAGGCTACCCGACTGCCCCTGATATTGTAATAAGCCAAACAGCATTGAGGCTCCTAAATTCAGACCAGAATATCTCATTCTGTATTTTGAAAACTGAAGTTTAATCAGCTTAAGATTGGGCGTGCAAATTCACTCAGGGTACACCTGATGCTACCTTCCTTGGTGTCCTCAAATCTTCAGGCAGAGAGGTATCGTATCAAACTAAATGATCTGGTCATAATTAAATTGACTGAAATGGGGATTTTATCAACTAAAATTATGGCATACTCAAACAGATCTTCATCTGATATACTGACCAAATACACAATGACTTACAACATTTTCTTACAACAAAGACTTGGTTGGTAACAGAAAATTGATTCAGTTCAAGGATAAAATAAAATGCATAGCAATCAAGTAACCATTACCACACATAATTCATTATTGAATGGTAACTTTGTCATCACTCTACAAAGAGTAGAAATCACAGTTCACAAGGAGGTACTTTTACCTGCTTGTATTTTCCTTGCTTGTTCTTCCTCATTTCTTTTGTTTTCCATGACCCTTTTTCGCACCAAGTGACCTCTGTATGCAGTCTGTATGGAGACAGCGGCATTGTGGCGCTGTTTGATCACCGGCTTGTACACCTTCCTGGTATGTAACCCACGTGCCACTGACCAAAGACATCATAACGTACGTCAGTAAACATTGTGACCAACCAATCCTCATTGTAGTTGCATCTAAAGACAAACGTTGAGTACTCGGGACCTATTCTGTTCTGGAATCCCCAAGGTTTGGTTTTGTATGTTTTTTGTTTAATGCCGCACTCAGCAATATTCCAGCTATATGACAGCGTTCTCTAAGTAATTGAGTCTGGACCAGACAATCAAGTGATTGACATTATGAACATCGATCTACGCAATTGGGATACGATGACATGCATCAACAAAGTAAGCGAGCCTCTTACAAAAAGCATTGTCAAGGAGATAATTACAATCAGATAGGAATATCTGATATGTTATATATAAATGAATGCTCCCTTACAGACTGCTCCCTGAGCAGGGTTTGCTGGTAAACATAGTAATTTGGTAATGGCTGCCAGCTGTCAAGCATGTTCACATATCACTTGGGATTTTCAACCAGACAGTCAGTCCAGCTTCATAATATTATAATGGTGCTGGTTCATTCTTTCCAACTTCATGCCTAACTTGACAAGCAATTAATGGTGACAATCAATTGACAGTTAAGGCAAACATACATTTTTGTAGAACAATGGCCGCCCTGCGTCTCTGCTGCACAACTGTCTGGTACTCCTTCCGCACATGCCATCCTCGGGCAACTGCAATATACATGGAGGACTATGGCATCTAAATCACGTATGGTACATAAAAAAACAGACATCAGGTGATTGGGACCAACTTCCTGGAATTCTCAAAGGGGAAACAAGCATAGGCAACTTGGGAGCTACTCTGACCTGGAATTCACAAAGGGGAAACAAGCATGGGTTACTTGGGACCTACTCTGCTCCAGAATTCACAAAGGCGAAACAAGCATGGGTTACTTGGTACCTACTCTGCCCCCGAATTCACAAAGGGAGAACAAGCATGGGTTACTTGGGACCTACTCTGCCCCAGACATCACAAAGGGGAAACAAGCATGGGTTACTTGGGACCTACTCTGCCCCAGAATTCACAAAGGGAGAACAAGCATGGGTTACTTGGGACCTACTCTGCCCCAGACATCACAAAGGGGAAACAAGCATGGGCACCTTGGGATCTACTCTGCTCCAGAATTCACAAAGGCGAAACAAGCATGGGTTACTTGGGACCTACTCTGCCCCAGAATTCACAAAGGGAGAACAAGCATGGGTTACTTGGGACCTACTCTGCCCCAGACATCACAAAGGGGAAACAAGCATGGGCACCTTGGGATCTACTCTGCTCCAGAATTCACAAAGGGAGAACAAGCATGGGTTACTTGGGACCTACTCTGCCCCAGACATCACAAAGGGGAAACAAGCATGGGCACCTTGGGACCTACTCTGCCCCAGAATTCACAAAGGGGGAACAAGCATGGGCACCTTGGGACCTACTCTGCCCCAGAATTCTCAAAGGGGAAACAAGCATGGGTTACTTGGGACCTACTCTGCCCCAGACATCACAAAGGGTAAACAAGCATTGGCACCTTGGGATCACAAAGATGTTGATAATACACAATACATAAGAGTGAAGGATGAATAAATGGTCTTACATTTCTGCATGATGAGCGCTGCCTTGTCTCGCTGCCACTTCATGCGGAAGAAGTGCGTTCGACTGAGCCAGCGCCTCACACAAGCCTGGACTAGAATCAACTTCTCGTAGAAGCTCTCGTACCTCCGAGCAAGTTCCTCCACATGGTAGTATTTCAAGAAAACCTGCAGGATAGAAAGCCATGAAAAGGTCACTTCTTTCCCTTCTTTAACATTTGCAAAATTACAAATAAATATTTATCTGTATTTATTATATTAATCCACAAGATCTTCATTCAATGAGAGTTCGTGGATCTCACAAATGTATTGACATGTTACTCATTACAGGAAAACCACTCAAGTAAAGAGTATTGGTAACGAAAAAAGAACATTGCCTACTTCTCAAAAGAAACATAGAAGGATAAGAAACTGCCATTGAGGATTTTATCACATGTCCTTCATCAAACACATGCCTAATGCCTACATCGAATACATAAAACACAACTGTACTTCAGTAAGTGCCCTGTTTGAAGAAATGCCTGGTTAGAAGTGATTTTAGACACTAAATGATGATCCTGAAATTTTCATTACAGAAAACATGAGTCTCAGAGACGAGTTTCTGGATTCCAGCTTTTAAGTCAGTTTTGAATGGTGACGTAAAGAATCTTTTATAAATTGCTTTGATATACAATTTTTAAGATTTTATCATATTAAGCCACACAAATAAAAGCAGTCATGTTCCTGCCTAATTTTAGGTTTATCCCCTATTTCATAAATAGTCATGCTGTCATATGCCATCATATAGACGCACTGAACAAACATGGCTGATAGGTATTTGTGACATGCATGTGTACCAGCAGACATGAAGAATAGTATACAATTGAGGTCAAGCATGTAAGGTCAGTACCGCTTTTTTGAGTCACAAAAACAGGTATTGACCTCATAACGGTATAAAGTCTATTAATGTTTTATTGTATAATATAGAGTTAAAAAAAACCAGAGACATCTGATTGGCTCAGGTTTGGGGAAAACCACTTTAACATAATTTCCATTCTATTTTTAGTAACTCAAATCAATACCATAATTATCAGACCTGATATCAGAGTCAATATGCTTTTCTGACTTCATTTTGGCCAATGAATTATGCTGAAATCTGTGCATTAAACAATAAATGCCAACACTGAATATGCAATAAATGAAGGAGAGGTCCGGTGCCCACCTTCGTCCTGCCGATGGCCCAGTGATGCAGCCCCAGCCTCTCCAGGAGCACAGTGCAGGTCTCGGCATTGATGGGGATCTTCTCATTCCACTGGAAACACAGCACATGGTACCTGGGACACAGAGCACACAACCATCAACACTACAGTCCGATATCAAGTATGAGGGTCACAAGCCCTCAAGTCACAAGGAGCGTTGGTTGTGGAGAGTAGTTGGATTGGTGAATGTGTTCAGTAGCTTGACTTGAGATTTACACTAAAGACATAACTCTCTGTCTTCTTCCAGTCACTGTTGAGTGGTTGTTTGTTGTTTGTATGTTGCTTTATGTCGCATTCAGCAATATTCCAGCCATAATCAAGTCTGGACAAGACAATACAGAGATTGATATCATGAGCATCGAGCCATGATTTTTGGGATACAATGACATGCTATCGACTAAAGACACCAAGCCTGACAACATGATCCATTTAGGTGCCTCTTACAACAAGCAGAGGTTTCAGGGACCACCATGGAGAGTCACTGTTTGAAGCACCCTCACATCAGAAAAATAATATTGACAATAACAATATCACAATGGCCAAAATTACGTAAATTATAAATACACCTTATGTATGATACAAAAGCAGACAATGCCAAAACCATTATTTTAACATTCCATGGATATAACTGAGGAAGCCATTAAAACCTACCTCTTGAGGAACTCACTGAACTGTATCCTGTGAGAATAACCTTGCCTCCTGATCCGAGTAGTCTCCAGGACGCCAGTATACTTCAGCTGAATCATCACCTTCTCCGACTCGAAGTGATCAGGGTCCTTTTTGTCGTTCGGCTTGATACATCTGTTACAGTGAACAAAATATCATTATATTTCTTCCAATTTAATTTTGGAGCATGTACAAATATTTATCAGAGAAGAGACAGACCAAAGTTATTTTGTTTTACAGATGACCTTGCACTTAATTTTTTTAAACTGACAAAATAATTTCCTGTTATTTCTACCCCCAGGTTTTTATGTTTGCCTAGAAAACCAATAAAACCAGTAAAATCAGTAAAACAAGTGGTTTGGTTCACTGTACATATGCAAGTACAGGAAACAGGCCCAGCAAGACAAGTTTAGAAAGATGGGAAATAGTAAGTGTGTGAGTGAGTTAGTATAGTTTTACGCCGCTTTTAGCAATATTCCGGCAATATCACGGCGGGGGACACCAGAAATGGGCTTCACACATTGTACCCACAGTGGGAATTGAACTCGGGTCTTCGTTATGACAAGCGACGCTTTGACCACTAGGCTACCCGGCCGCCCCTGATGGTATATAGGCTCAAGTTTATGTTTGATAACAGATCACATAGCAGAAGGTTCAGTTTCATCAGCAGTGAAAATAACAATTCATAAAACACATTCAAAACAAAATATGACAAAGAGATCCAAAATTCAGGATAGTAGAAATGAAATACATGTACAACAAAGACCAGGTGTTGCTCTCCAGATGCTATTCCAGGACAGTGGGGGCTTGGGGTAGCCTAGTGGTTAAAGCGTTCGCTCGTCACGCCGAAGACCCGGGTTCCATTCCCGATATGGGTACAATGTGTGAAGCCCATTTCTGGTGTCCCCCGCCGTGATATTGCTGGAATATTGCTAAAAGCGGCGTAAAACCATACTCACTCACTCACTCCAGGACAATGGTTCAGATTCAGTGTTTTTATAAGATGATGACCCTAAATACATTTGGATTACAGTTACTTTGTGAGGAGGGATTTTGTGCAAAATGAACGAATGACAGAAAATGTTACCTGACAAAATGTGGGGAGCCAGCCACCATCTTGGCCAGGAGGTCCATGAGAGAGAAGCGGAAATACGTGGACACGGTCTGCTGGATCCGGGTCATGCTGGTAGAACCAGATGCATTCTGGAACCGACATCACATACTCGTCACATACCCATCTTATACCCATCATATACTGGGAATACAAACACCCCTTAGGCTTATAAAAATAATAGAATCGGTTCTCAGGCAATAACTTCTGAAAAAATAGTGCGAGCGGGCAGTGTTTTTTTGGCAGGGGTAGTTCAAACTAGTATGTAACCAAATAAATAGTTGTGTATCATCAACTGAGAACCAAGACTATTATATTTTTTAGCCTAACACTGAAACCCTGTTAATCTGGACACCCTCTGTCACGGACACTGTTACGATCATACATGAATATATAAAGGGACATCACTCTGTACTCCAATGAGTGAGGGAGTGGGGTTTCACACAACATTTAGCAAAATTCACAAAGAATGGTGTAAATCCTGAATAACACAGTTTCACTGTTATTGAGATTTACATCTCATGGACGTAACGTTGCTCCAATGAAAATATATGAATACACAAAAACATGTCCTTTAAATAATCATACTTCACACATCATGCACAACAAATTTATGTAAGACTAATCTCATTAAATTCAGATCTCAGTTCTCACCACCTGCAAACAAAGATCTGAGGACATCCCATAACGTCAGAATACGTCAGAACAACCTTTCATTCGACCAATCAGAGCAGGAAAGTGACAGTCGGAATGTGTTTTCTATTTGTGCAACCTTGAAAAAGTTAACACAGAGTATTTAATCAACAACAGTTACGGGCTGTAAAAATCATCGTCTATCTCATGCTTAAATGATATAAACATTGAAATGGAAGAGACTTTCTATAGCCCTATTAGACATTCAAGAATCTCTTTGTTATTCAGTTTTTCAATTTTGAGTCATATTTTTCAAAACAAAGTCAGGTATGGAAGACTTAGAAAGCTACTTTCTGATTGGCTAAAGTAGACTTCTTGTTAGTCATTTCATTGGTCGGTCAAAGTTCATGAAAGATCGTTCTGACATGACATGTAATGGGATGTCCTCAGATCTTTGTTTAGCAGTAGTGAGCACTAACATCTGATTTTAAAGAGTCCCATTTAAAACTGAAGTCCTATTCAAACGTTAAACAAAATACATCCTTTTAAGAGCTGAGGCTTTCTATATTGCACAATATTCATTTGTTCTTCTGTTACATCTAATACAAGAATAGGAAAACCATTGTAGTTATTTTAGAATGTTCCAAGTGATTCACACATCAGCCATGCAATCCTCTAATTTCATACATTTTGAAATTTATTTTGCTAATCACATTTTCTTGGGAGTACCTACTGTGAACTGTGCAATTAATCCCAGGTTTCCATTGTCTACTTTCATTTATGCACAAGCCTGCTAACTCTAACCTCAACACAATATTTATGCTATTCAAGTTGGCAAAGCGCTAAAATAATGATCACATTTCACATCACAAAAAAAAATTCAATTACTATGCTTTTTAAAAAAAATTAAGTCAGTTTTAGCGGTCTATCAGACTTAAAGTTTGTTACTGATCATCAATGATTGGCTATTCCTACTAGGTGTTTTGTCTAAAATAAGACTTCAAAAATCAAATGTTGCATCTACTATTTCATCAAAATCAATATTATTAAATAAATCGAGAAAATGTTAAATGGAAGCGAAATGACATGAAAAGTGAATATAATGTGTGATGAGGTTTCATGATAGCTCTCAGTGGCTGTTCAGATACTTTCAATATTCATAATACATTTACTCCCCTCTAAGATAGGTCATATACTCCCGTCAACATAATACATTTACTGCTCTCTGAGGTCACATACTCCTGTCAACATAATACATTTACTGCTCTCTGAGGTCACATACTCCTGTCAACATAATACATTTACTGCTCTCTGAGGTCACATACTCCTGTCAACACAATACATTTACTCCCCTCTAAGATAGGTCATATACTCCCGTCAACATAATACATTTACTGCCCTCTGAGGTCACATACTCCTGTCAACATAATACATTTACTCCCCTCTAAGATAGGTCAACATAATGCATATACTGCCCTATAAGATAGGTCACATACCCCTGTCAACACAATACATTTACTCCCCTCTAAGATAGGTCAACATAATACATATACTGCCCTATAAGATAGGTCACATACTCCTGTCAACATAATACATTTACTGCTCTCTAAGATAGGTCACATACTCCTGTCAACACAATATATTTACTGCTCTCTGATATAGGTCACATACTCCTGTCAACATAATACATTTACTGCCCTCTAAGATAGGTCACATACTCCTGTCAACACAATACATTTACTGCTCTCTGAGATAGGTCAGATACTCCTGTCAACATAATGCATTTACTGCCCTCTAAGATAGGTCACATACTCCTGTCAACACAATACATTTACTGCCCTCTAAGATAGGTCACATACTCCTGTCAACACAATACATTTACTGCCCTCTAAGATAGGTCACATACCCCTGTCAACACAATACATTTACTGCTCTCTGAGGTCACATACTCCTGTCAACACAATACATTCACTGCCCTCTAAGATAGGTCACATACTCCTGTCAACACAATACATTTACTGCTCTCTGACATAGTTCACATATTCCTGTCAACATAATACATTTACTGCCCTCTAAGATAGGTCACATACTCCTGTCAACACAATACATTTACTGCTCTCTGAGGTCACATACTCCTGTCAACATAATACATTCACTCCCCTCTAAGATAGGTCACATACTCCTGTCAATATAATACATTTACTGCTCTCTAAGATAGGTCACATACTCCTGTCAATATAATGCATTTACTGCTAAAATAGGTCTTTTCTAATTTTATTATAATGATAATACTTATCTCAATGATTGTTCTTAAAGTTCTATTCTATCACCTAGTTGCAGCCTGGATTAAGAACAATCTGATTGTTACCTAAATAAATTCCAAACATATTAACTGAATTAGCAAGTAAACACTGGATAAACACAATTTTGAAGCAGTAATAAATTCCAGGACAGATAATTTTATCAAACTAGTAAAAAATAAAATATTGAAGCAGTAATATAATCTTACTCTCTATTACCTGAAGTGAAAATCTAAAAAATAAAATTCATGTCAGTAATTTAGTGGAAGAGCTTGAGTGATGTCACTTTTTTCCATCACAAACAGACATGATAATGATGAATTAGTGCAAGGAGAATACATGGGGAATTAAACAATGTCGGAAGGTTCGAATGCTATACAGCAGAAAGAAGTTTGTAAGCCACACAGGATATATTCAAGAACTGGACCAAGTCTCTAAACTAATTGTTTCCCGATGTCTAAGAAGAGGCTGAACTCTGTGACAGAAAAAGCACTACATTGAGACAGATCACAGCAAACGTTGAAGACATACGATACTTACAAGAGCATTCAAATAAATCTGTAAGACATAGTCGAACACAACTCCAACACAACTCTAACACAACACTGACACAAATCAGTAACTACAGCTACACATGTTGTAAACACAAAATAGATCAATCAAGTTGGAAGTTCTTATTCAGTTGAAGTAGGAAATCTCAGCTGCAGATACAGATAGGATGGAGGCAGAGAGTGAGTGAGTGAGTGAGTGAGTGAGTGAGTGAGTGAGTGAGTGAGTGAGTGAGTGAGTGAGTGAGTGAGTGAGTGAGTGAGTGAGTGAGTGAGTGAGTGGGGTTTAATGCTGCTTTGAACAGTATTCCAGTTATATCACAGCTTCAACTTCATGTTGGAGGAAAGCCAGAAGTGATGCAGGTCTGAGTCCTTTACCACTTTGGTGAAACCTACGAGTATGGGTATGGTGCTGAGAAACACATCGGGAGTACCGGGATTCAAATCCCAAACCATAGGTTTCTGGCACAGCAAAAAGCAGTGCCATAGACCACTGGGCCATCTTTGCCCCGAGAGTGCAGAAAACTGCCAACACTACTGAATTCTGAGAATATCAGTATCAAATCCCTACACAAAATGACTTTTTACGTACGGTTAGACTTTGTTAACTCAAAAGTCCTAGGCACCACAAAAGATATATTGAGTTAAATGTTTGTTTGTTATTATACAAAGCAGTCAGCAACATTCCAGCTACCAGTATGGCAGCCTGTGAGTAATCCAATCTGACCAGGCAAACCAGTGACTGACAGCATGAGCACCATCCCAAAACCACTGGGATACAATGTCTTGCAGTCAGTCAAGTCACCCAAACTGACCACCTGTCTCAAGTTAGTGGCATCTTACGACAAGCAATAGAGTGCTGAGTAACTACAACAAGAGATCCACATGGGTGTTATCTGCAGTTCAAGCCATACAAAATGCCCATATCAGACAACAATATGGATTTAAGAAGGTTCTGCTCACAGTTCACAAGATTTCATTGTAATTTAGGAATTATGTATTGCTCAAAAAAATGTTTTCATTATTAATCAAAAGGTTGAAATCCCATCATAAGAAACAGGATTTACTGATAGAAAAATAGGTCTCTATGATTAACGTAAAATAGAGAATAACCGATGTGCTATGAGGAATTATTAATTATTGTCCCGAATGAATGAATGGTGTCAATCTCAAACCTTTGGCAAGGGACAGCAATCGTTAACGAGGGACAGATAATCCGGAATTCTGAGTTTCGAGCAGGTTATTCTATATATTACTCACTGAGATTTTAAGAGAGAAAATGATGAGAAAAAGTATGAAAGGTCAACCCAACAGAGAAACCACATTGAAGCAGCCTACTTAGTTTGGTTTGTTTGTTTGTTGTTAAATGCTGCACTCAGCAATTTTCCAGCTATTTGACGGCAGTCTGTAAAAAATCGAGTCTGGACCAGACAATCCAGTGGTTGACATCATGAGCATCGATCTACACAATTGAGATATGATGACATGCATCAACCAAGTCAGCGAGCCTGACCACCAGATCCCGTTAGTCCCCTCTTACGACAAGCACAGCCGCCTCTAACGGCAAGCATGGGTTGCTGAAGACCTACCCTACTGTTCCGATAATGTGATGTTAACAATTTATAATGTTATGAACAAGGGACAGCAAAAACGCACACGTGCAAATATTGGAAATGATTAAACATGATCATTTTACCCTTGTAGGTAATATAAGGATATACGATATTTTACATATCTATCCATGGCAACACAATACATTTAGCATTACTTCTGTCAGTCTATAATTACTTCACCACTGTCTAAAAGACAACCTTATAACAATGTTTGCATTGTAGGTAGGTATACACACCCTGCTGCCTCCAAATGCTGATCTGCTCTGAGGCTGGTAACTCTGGATTGTAAACCCGCTGTTGGTGCTCATGGGAGAGTTAAATGCACTGGATTTGGTACTGTTGAAGTTGGACTTGAGACTACCCGTAGCCAGGTTTCCTGTTGAAGAGTGAGAGAGTTTGCTGGAATGATTCTTTGAAGTGAAATTACTGTCATGTCCTGGCTCGTTGCTCAATGTGGAAGGGAAAGAGGGTCGTATTTACCACTTTAGTTGTATATGTATAGGGCTAACAGCCCAAGGATCATAATTTGGCACATCTGTGATACAAGCCAATGTCCAGCTAATCCTGGATGGCTTAAGGGATGCAACTCTGCTAAGCAAATAGCTGGGTTTGAGACAGCTGGGCCACCCATGCCCCCTTCCTTTTGGGCATTTGGACAACTACCAGTACTTATGGAAGAAGAAACAAAATATAATTGAATATACTACTCAAAAAAAGTTAAGGACCACGCGATTCTTTCGTTAATCTGTCATGGCATCTTAAGACTTTTGTTCCATGACAGCTATAAATGTTCAATCTAATAAAAATGAAAATATATGCCATTTGTACTTCACCTGGAGAACAAATTGAAAAACAATGGACACAGTTTGTAGGGACAAAAACACATGCATGCACAATGTAAATACAACTGTGAATATCTTTCATTTGCAGAGAAGAACAGAACATATAGCTGAACCCATCCCAGTAATGTATCTGCCACACCTACACCCCCGTGTACCTGTCTTTGTGAGGGGAGTCTGGAACAGAGCCTTGACCACAGAGTTGCTGGATTGGCGCAGGATGTCAACGATCTCAACAGGAAGTCGATCTCTGTTCTTCTCCAGGAAGCCAGAGGCATCGTACGTCACCTAGTGGATGGATAGACAGGGATTCTACTCAGCACAGTATATCCTGTGATAACTGAGGCGTTGCACACCTTCTGGATGGATATATCATACAGGGATGCCACTCAACACTGTCTGATAAGAGCACCAGTACTTGACTATGAAAGGGAGGCACTCTTCCACAAATCCATTTTTGGAAATGCTAACAAAAATGTAAGAATAGTAGTGTGCTACTCATTCATTATTTCAGGGTCGCCTCCAAATAAATATCTCGGGACAAACATTCCAAAACTTCATTAAAGTGGATCTCACCTTGCCAGCATAGTGCTCGATAGCAAACTTGCGATTGTCAGCCTTCGGTCTTGTGTAGTAGGGCGAGTTAATGTTCTGATGGAACTTCTCTACAGAAACAAAAGGTTACATATAACATAACATCCAAGACACATGTTAAAACAGAAAATGCAGTCAGTACGATTGAATAATTTTCTCCAAGGTAAAAGTCTGGTCTTCCCTACCAATTGAAGTCTGGCAAAACATCACACAAAGGTCTTCCCTACCAACTAGAATCTGGCAATACCTCACACAAAGGTGTCCTTTACCAACTAGAATCTAGCAATACATCAAACAAAGGTCTTCCCTACCAACTAGAATCTAGCAATACCTCACACAAAGGTGTCCCTTACCAACTAGAGTCTGGCAATACATCACACAAGGTGTCCCTCACCAACTAGAGTCTGGCAATACATCACCTAAAGGTGTCCCTTACCAACTTAAGTCTGACAATACCTCACACAAGGTGTCCCTTACCAACTAAAGTCTGACAATACATCACACAAGGTGTCCCTTACCAACTAAAGTCTGACAATACATCACTTAATGGTGTCCCTTACCAACTAAAGTCTGACAATACATCACACAAAGGTGTCCCTTACCAACTAAAGTCTGACAATACATCACACAAGGTCCCCCTTGCCAACTAATGTCTGGCAATACCTCACACAAGGTGTCCCTTACCAACTAAAGTCTGACAATACATCACTTAATGGTGTCCCTTACCAACTAAAGTCTGACAATACATCACACAAAAGTGTCCCTTACCAACTAAAGTCTGACAATACATCACACAAAGGTGTCCCTTACCAACTAAAGTCTGACAATACATCACACAAAGGTGTCCCTTACCAACTAGAGTCTGACAATACATCACACAAAGGTGTCCCTTACCAACAAGAGTCTGGCAATACATCACACAAAGGTTTCCCTTACCAACTAGAGTCTGACAATACATCACACAAAGGTTTCCCTTACCAACTAAAGTCTGGCAATACATCACACAAAGGTCTTCCCTACCAACTAAAGTCTGGCAATACTTCACACAAAGGTGTCCCTTTCCAACGTAAGTCTGGCAATACATCACACAAAGGTCTTCCCTACCAACTGAAGTCTGGGAATACTTCACACAAAGGTGTCCCTTACCAACTAAAGTCTGGCAATACATCAAACAAAGGTCTTCCCTAACAACTGAAGTCTGGCAATACATCACACAAAGGTCTTCCCTACCAACTAATGTCTGGCAACACCTCACACAAAGGTCTTCCCTAACAACTAGAATCTAGCAACACTTCACACAAAGGTGTCCTTTACAAACTAAAGTCTGGCAATACTTACACAAAGGTCTTCCCTACCAACTGAAGTCTGGCAATACATCAAACAAAGGTCTTCCCTAACAACTGAAGTCTGGCAATACATCACACAAAGGTCTTCCCTACCAACTAATGTCTGGCAACACCTCACACAAAGGTCTTCCCTAACAACTAGAATCTAGCAACACTTCAAACAAAGGTGTCCTTTACCAACTAAAGTCTGGCAATACTTACACAAAGGTCTTCCCTACCAACTGAAGTCTGGCAATACATCACACAAAGGTCTTCCCTACCAACTAATGTCTGGCAACACCTCACACAAAGGTCTTCCCTAACAACTAGAATCTAGCAACACTTCACACAAAGGTGTCCTTTACCAACTAAAGTCTGGCAATACTTACACAAAGGTCTTCCCTACCAACTGAAGTCTGGCAATACATCACACAAAGGTCTTCCCTACCAACTAATGTCTGGCAACACCTCACACAAAGGTCTTCCCTACCAACCAATGTCTGGCAACACCTCACACAAAGGTGTCCCTTACCAACTAAAGTCTGGCAAAACCTCACCTAAAGGTCTTCCTTACCAACTAAAGTCTGGCAACACCTCACACAAAGGTCTTCCCTACCAACCAATGTCTGGCAACACCTCACACAAAGGTGTCCCTTACCAACTAAAGTCTGGCAATACATCACACAAAGGTCTTCCCTACCAACTAAATTCTGGCAATACATCCAACAAAGGAGTCCCTTACCAACTAGAGTCTGGCAATACATCACACAAAGGTGTCCCTTACCAACTGAAGTCTGGCAATACCTCACACAAAGGTGTCCCTTACAAACTAGAGTCTGGCAATACCTCACACAAAGGTGTCCCTTACCAACTAAAGTCTGGCAATACATTACACAAAGGTCTTCCCTACCAACTAGAGTCTGGCAATACATCACACAAAGGTGTCCCTTACAAACTAGAGTCTGGCAATACTTCACTTCAAGGTGTCCCTTACCAACTAGAGTCTGGCAATACATCACACAAAGGTGTCCCTTACCAACTAAAGTCTGGCAATACTTCACTTCAAGGTGTCCCTTACCAACTAGAGTCTGGCAATACATCACACAAAGGTGTCCCTTACCAACTAAAGTCTGGCAATACTTCACTTCATGGTGTCCCTTACCAACTAGAGTCTGTCAATACTTCACTCAATGGTGTCACTTACCAACTAGAGTCTGGTCAGTGGATTTTGGGAAGTTGCTCTCTTCATCCAGCAGACACAGGACACCCATGGGCTTCATCAGGAACATGTCCAGGATGGGCCGGTTGTCCACATAGCTCACATCCTTGGCATCAATACCTTCATTATGATACTCTTGCTGCAATATCGATAGGTAAATTATCATCACTGTCATCATGTTAATTTGCATCATAGTCACATGTAAAAAAACAAATCAAAGTTTTTTTCAGACATGAGGCACTTTCAATCAAAGTTTTACAGAACTGTTTGTGGTATAAACTGTTGTCAGCAATATTCCAGGTACCATGGTGTCCTATGAACAATAACCTTGACCAGACAAACCAGTGGTTGACATAATGAGCAGCATCCCAGGCCAGCATGGTAAATGATAAGTCACCAAGCTGGAGCACCTGTCACCTGTGACTACAAGCAACAGCGTGCTTGGGGACCTAATCCAAACCGGGTCCCAATCATGGGGTCTTTTAGGAGCTGATTGGCACAATCTTATAAAAATGATGTTCTTAATATACCTAACTAAATTAATGAAAGCAACTTAGAGACAATGATTGATTTTATCATAGGGATATATCTAATCAATTATTTAACATTTATAAACAATATGCTTTAAGCAAAGACACTGACTTATCAAAGTGTCCAAATGATAGAAGACAATTTTTACCCTGGTATCCATAAATATGGTATTACTTTGGTCAATAATTTAGTTGACAATATATTTTGTGACCGCCCCTTGACCAATAGCAATGACAAATACAACTATTGCATGGATTATTTCAAGCAACATATTTCAAATATTGCACATACCATCTCCCAGACAAAGATGTTCTGGTTGAAATAATACTGTATTTGTTCATTGGCAATGTTGATACAAAGTTGTTCAAAGGAGTTGCGTGTGAAGTTTTCAAACCCGAAGATGTCCAGAAGCCCAATCACCAAGCTCTCATCACTGAAACATATGAAAAGGAATGAAAACATTCTAAAAAAGATAACTACAATGCTCTGCAGCTCATCCGAGTGTCCAAAATTTTTACATGATACATCAAGTCATTTAAATAGTAATCATAAAGTTCCTATCCTTGGGGTAATAATGTCCACAACTGAACACATGTTCATAAACTATAGAAAAACATGTTGTATGTCAAATTACACATTGATATATCAACAGCTACCAATTACACGTGTGGTAACCATGCTATTCTATGAGCAATTTCAATGACACAGTTGTTGTGATCACACATACACATTCAGTTTCATCAACTTTGTGGTTTTATTTCAGATGTGACAACTTTTGAATCACTCTTGCACATGGGTACAATGTGTGAAGCCCATTTCTGGTGTCTGAGATATCCCCGCCGGGATATTGCTGTAATATTGCTAAAAGCGGCTTAAAATAATACTCATTCACTCACTAAATCACTCTATTAAAGACAACATGAATGTCAAAAATCACAAAAGTGTACAACATCAAATTATATCTTTCAAAACAACAGATCTAGTTACTGCATACTGAGTTACAAACTGCTGAATGATGGCCAAATGTCATTTCAATATGGCTGCCATGACAGCCATGTTGCAAGTAGAATAATAGAATTGAGGTGAAGTGTATGTATGTACTCACTCAGATCTTTCTGTTTTGGCTGGTCTGAGGAGAGCACTGATCCTGTTGACGATCCAGCTGAAGAGGCGGCCATACAGGGCCTTTGACATGGCGTCCCTGGCATTGAAGGCCTCACGGAGGTTGTTGTTGCGGATGATGAGCTCACCCTTGGCTACCATTGCTGTTGAAGTGAGAGCTTCTTGTATGTCCTCAGAGTGTACTCCAAGCAGGGACGATACTGGAAACAAACGACTTTATGAGAAGACGATAGAACAGTGTACTCCGAGAAGGGAGGATACTGAAGACAAACAACTTAATTAGGTGAGGTGAAATGGGGTTTAACGTTGCGTCCAAGATTATTGCACTGATATAGCTACGTGCATGCATGTGTGTGTGTGTGTGTGTGTGTGTGTGTGTGTGTGTGTGTGTGTGTGTGTGTGTGTGTGTGTGTGTATGTGTGTGTGGCTGCTTGTACTAGTCCGGACTGATGCCAATTTATAGTGCTAGTTCACTGAGATACCATGCCGCAGTTTAACATGAATACCCCACTCAGACACAGTATACTGACTGTGAGCCGACCAGTCCTTGTTTTAGCCCCTTAATGCCGAGCGCCAGACAGGGTAACAACAAGTACTATCTTTTAACGTTTTTTGGAATGACGCGGTCGGGGTTCAAACCCCGGACCTTCTGCTCTCCGGGCAGACGCTCTACCACTAGACCACGGAGGTGGTCACAACAAGTGTACTCCGAGAAGGGAGGTTACTAAAGACAAACAACTTGATTAGAAGGATATAAAAGTTAAATTATATTGGAGAATTGGCTCGTTTATGATTTCAAATATTTGGTGCTGATCTTATGATGAGGTTTAAACATCAACCTTCAGCTATGAGTTTACCTCCTGGGGAGAAGATGACCTAAGTGCAGGCTATATGAACCTACCTATATCGAGCAGACTCCTGTCACTGATGACACAGCAGTCCCCGGTGTGGTCCGACAGCTCTTTCTCCTGGAACTCCATGTTGCCAATGTGCAGGATCCCACACAGGATAGCATACACGGACGACACCTCCTGTGAGGAATACATGCATTCTTATTAAAGATCTTGCAAGACGACTCTTGGTGTATAGATTGTCAATTTAACTGTGAAAAACCTTGGAGTGTTCAAGGATGCCTAGTTTGACAGGTGTGGGTAAAACTCTTAACCCCAGCAGTGATAACTCACCGGATGCCTATTGTGTAATTCCTATTGTTTGAATGACATGGTTATATACTTGCTGCTCAATAAACCGTGTTGGTGTTTATATTCAGGTTGGTATTTCCATTGAAGTACCATTCGCATTTTTCGCATTTAATTCACGGTCGCTTAAATTTCAAGAATTACAGTATAAAAAACTGTACCTCTTTCTGGAAACCAATTACATCAAAACATGTCTGAATGGCCTTGAACTTGACCCGGTGTACTGACAATGAGGCTATGTCTGGGGGGGCACTGGTGTATTCCTGGAGATACCTGAAACAGACAACCAAGAATACCAAACTTTTAATTGTTATTTATTTAATTATTTCTTCAAAATTCAACATAAATGTTTCGGCAGCAGATGAAGTTCATGACACTGATGATTAGCTACCGGTAAATGACAAACACAGGTATTTAATACAACATCAAAGACAGAGAACAGTAAATATATATAGTGTGAATAGTATCTACCAACAGAAGAGATGCCCTTATATATTTCCCATCAACAGGAGAGACTCACTTGTACACTTTGCTCTTCTTAAGGTGGAACTTGTCATTGTCACTGGAGATCAGGCCGTCATGGACGTAATAGAAGATGTGGAAACTTTGTTCCCCTCTGAAGTAAACACAAGCATCACCTTCAAACTCCACCAACCAATCATTTGGAGATAATAATCTTTTTAAGATGCTTTACAATACAGTTCTGTGACCACATGCACAAAGCTAGATGTAACACAACCTGGAGAGTATGATGTTTGAAGATGTTTTATAGTCAATGAGAGTAAAGATTTTACATTTCCACCTAAATAATTTCTTCGGCACCTTCAAAATTTACGCTAGTCTGCTAGCCCCAGACTACTTGATTGTGCTAAGGACAAGTAAAAATCCAGAGTATTGAGGGCTATTATTCTGAACAAGTTATCGATGCTTCAATATTGCTACAAAGTGGAACAGAATACAACTGATGGTGTAGTGTAGTCGTCGGAAGGTGTTCAAACTTCAACAGAGACCTACTAAACACAAGCCACATGAAGATGTAAGGTATTCTTATGAAGATGAAAATGTCTGACACATTCAAGAGGTCCTGGGGAGGTCTGCAAATTATCAAGTCTGGACAGGTTAATCAAGTGATTGACATCATGAGCATCGATCCACGTATTTGGGAATGATAACATGCATCAAACAAGTCACCGAGCCAGGCCACACGATCCATTTAGTCACTTCTTATGACAAGCATAGGTTGCTAGGGGCCTATATCCTCACACGGATTCCCTACCGACCAGGGAAGGTCATCTTGCTGATAAGATTATACTCACTTTCCTTGATGAATGACACGCGACTTCTCCAGCAGATACTCAGTAATTTTGGCTGAAACAAAGAAGAGGATTCATACTGTAGTTCTTCTTTCCACATATATTAAATAGAATCCAGCTATCTAATTTGCTAGTTGCCATCAAAACACCATAAAAGTTATTTGGCCAGTCTGAACAGACATCTTGACGACATAGTCTTTCATGTGACGTCATCTACTTGTCATGTCATAATTGACCCAGTTCACATTTGGCATTCCCTTCCGAAACCCACTTCCTAATCAGCCAGTCACTGGCATGGGTTCTAAATTCTCATTATGAGTGGGGGAAGTAACTGTTTCCAGACAAGCACATCTGATTTCTGTGTCACACTCTCACACTGAATTGTGGAGTTCCACCGTATCATATTATTGTGGACACTTAATGCATCCTGCATTTCTAAACATTATGAGACCGCCTCTGTGGTCTAGTGGTTGAGCGTTTGCCGAGGGAGGAGAAGGTCCGGGGTTTGATCCCCGGCCGCGTCATACCAAAAGACGTCAAAAGATGATACTTCTTGTTACCCTGTCTAGCACTCGGCATTAAGAGGCTAAAACAAGGACTGGTCTGTTCAGAGTCAGTATACTATGTCTGAGTGGGATATTCATGTCAAACTGAGGCAAGGTATCTCAGTGGGCTAGTACTCTAAAATCCGCATCAGTCTGGACTATCAGACACACACACACACACACACACACACACACACACACACACACAAGAGATGAAGCTAAAATGTTTCAGAAAACTGACATCTAATGGGTTCAAGAACCCAGACTGGGTGGTCAAAGTGACTGGTTATGGAGCTGTGTTAACATCTTCACACACAGAAGCATTGTATTGGAGCAAAAGATCTCCTGTTAATACGATTGATTTTGTTGATTTTGTTTGTGTACCCACCTCCCATTACAGTTCCGTGAGTTGTGAAGAACATCTCAAGGTACTTCCCGAACCGGCTGGAGTTGTCGTTGATGACCGTCTTGGCATTACCGAAGGCTTCCATCAAAGGGTTTACTTGTAAAATCCTCTCCTCTAATGTACGATTTGGTGCCTAGGTGTGGAAACACAGATCTTAGTAGAGACAGTAAAAAATATGCCAGTTAATTTTGTTTATGTGGTAGATATATACTTCAGAAACTATCAAATAGAAACATTTGGTGTCACACTAGGTAAGAATCCGGTCTTCTGTAAGTGTTATCCAGCAAAATACCTGGTACATCATTCAGGTCAACTATTAAAGGGGAACTAGGCATGTACCAATTTATGATACTTGCAAGTTTGATAGAAGTATTCAAAACTCAAAATATATTATGCGGATCAATTCCCTTCATTATATACAGAAAACGCCTCGTTTCAAGGCATTATGTTCTCGGCTGTAAATGGGCACCACACTAGGCACAAAGTTTCTCTGTAATGGGTCCACACGAGAGTCGGAGGGCTGGATTGAACATCCCCGAGACTTGACCATCATCATCTCCGTCTTACCTTGCCTAGCTGGGTGAGCTGCTGGACCAGGAGGTTGGCGCTCTCCGTCTTGCCAGCCCCAGACTCCCCGCTGATCACAATACACTGCAGCACACAAACATACTCAACATCATCTATGTCAAGTGAGGCTCATTACATTCATATTTATACTCATCATCTATGTCAAGTGATGCTAGTCAAACTATATAAGTTGTAGCATTATCACGAGGGGTACATGGAGTTTTATACCATATGCTCGTTCTATAAAACCAAACAAGGGATGCCAAAAACCCGATGTAAAATATCATTGTAAAATAATTAAAACAAATTCAAAATTGATAGAAAACAGTTGTACAAATAAGCTGAGGTTAACTTGAGCTATGTCATGTGACTTTCATTGCCTCAGAATATACAGGATTTATTCTCCCTCTCAGAAATCCATGTGCAGCCTGACTTGCTCGTGCCAGGGTATAAGGTATTTATTCACCCGCTCAAATGCTATGTATCCCATACATAGCATTTTACCAACATCACATGGGCCAATCAGATCTCATCATTCTAACATGGAGGTATAACAATATTTATACTCATCATCTATGTCAAGTGATGCTAGTCACATCAATATTTCCATGAAATATGAAGTTGCCTGTGGGACATAAGTATTTCAGTAGAACTCCACAGAAACTGTCACAGTAGCAGAAAACTGCAATGATTTCAGTCTTATCACAGCCTGTCAGCTTGATGTAGGAGAGAAGCCCAAAAGGATGGAGGTCTGAGTCAATAGCCACCTTGGTGAAAACCACAAGCATAGATATGGTGGTGACACACCTAGGTATATAGTCAGAGCAAATCTGGGATTGAAATCATAGGGTTCTGGCACACCCAAGGGACGCACTCTGCCCAGTGAATTGTGGTGAATAAAACAACTGGACTATCCACACCACCAATCATAGGGTTCTGGCATACCCAAGGGACACACTCTGCACAGTGAATTGTGGTGAATAAAACAACTGGACTATCCACACCACCAATCATAGGGTTCTGGCACTCCCAAGGGACGCACTCTGCACAGTGAATTGTGGTGAATAAAACAACTGGACTATCCACACCACCAATCATAGGGTTCTGGCACTCCCAAGGGACGCACTCTGCACAGTGAATTGTGGTGAATAAAACAACACTACTATCCACACCACCAATTATAGGGTTCTGGCACTCCCAAGGGACGCACTCTGCACAGTGAATTGTGGTGAATAAAACAACTGGACTATCCACACCACCAATCATAGGGTTCTGGCATACCCAAGGGACACACTCTGCACAGTAAATTTTGTGGTGAATAAAACAACTGGACTATCCACACCACCAATCATAGGGTTCTGGCACTCCCAAGGGACGCACTCTGCCCAGTGAATTGTGGTGAATAAAACAACTGGACTATCCACACCACCAATCATAGGGTTCTGGCACTCCCAAGGGACGCACTCTGCCCAGTGAATTGTGGTGAATAAAACAACTGGACTATCCACACCACCAATCATAGGGTTCTGGCACTCCCAAGGGACGCACTCTGCACAGTGAATTGTGGTGAATAAAACAACTGGACTATCCACACCACCAATCATAGGGTTCTGGCACACCCAAGGGATGCACTCTGCACAGTGCATTGTGGTGAATAAAACAACTGGACTATCCACACCACCAATCATGGGTTTTGGCACACCCAAGGGACACACTCTGCACAGTTAATTGTGGTGAATAAAACAACTGGACTATCCACACCACCAATCATAGGGTTCTGGCACACCCAAGGGACACACTCTGCACAGTGAATTGTGGGGAATAAAACAACTGGACTATCCACACCACCAATCATAGGGTTCTGGCACTCCCAAGGGACGCACTCTGCACAGTGAATTGGGGTGAATAAAACTGGACTTTCCACACCACCAATCATAGGGTTCTGGCACTCCCAAGGGACACACTCTGCACTGCAAATTGTGGGGAATAAAACAACTGACCCGTGCCACCCATGCCACCCGCTCCACCACACTACGCACTCCACCCCCGTCAATTAATGAGACATTGCTGAACTCACCTGGTTGTGTTTATTATGCATCATCATCTGAAAGGACTGATCGGCGACAGCGAAGATGTGAGGTGGCAAGCTGTCCTTCGGGGCGTTCATGTACTTCTTGGAGTACTGCAACACAACAGATTGCACATATAGAGTCATACCGGAACAATTAAAACACTACCTATCAACAAGCCAACTAAATCCCACCAACTGGCTACCACCAACTGGCTACCACCAACTGGCTACCACAGCTGACGCCATCAGTACAGTACCCACCTCGTCGGAGTATATTGTCATGAAGGTGAAGGGGTTGACAGCCAGCAAGATGTCCCCAATATACGTGTAGATGAGATTCTGGCCGTACCTGTTGAACAACTGGGACACAATCACGTCCTGCAATACAAACAAAACAACATAAACAAACAATATCCAACACAAATATCACCTGGGGCCCATTCCAAAAAGCAATCTTAGTGCTATGTTTATCGTAACATTTATTTCGCAACAGCCTGTAAATGACTGAATTAGGGTGGTTGGTTGGTTTGTTGTTTAACGCCACACTCAGCAATATTTCAGCTATATGACTGCCATCTGTTAATAATTGAGTCTGGACCAGACAATCCAGTGATTAATATCATGAGCATTGATCCACGCAATTGGGATCAATGACATGCATCAACCAAGTCAGCAAGCCTGACCGATCCCGTAAGTCGCCGCTTACGACAAGCACCGTCGCCTTTCACGGCATGTATGGGTTGCTGAAAAGCTCTTCTACCCCGGATCTTCACAGGTCTTAGGACCATGCAACCAAGGGTCAACAGTTTGAGGAACAATCCGCGCTGTTGAGCATGACGACACAGCGATGTCACACACTGCAACCACCCACTCCTGATCCATCAGCTCGTACAATAATCACAGGGTTCTTGGGACTATATCAGTGTTTCCATAGGATTTTCAAATTACCAGTCCTCCCTAATTTTTGTCAGTCCAACAAGTCTTTCAACAAGTAAAAAAACATATGAAAATTACCTGGTTTTAATTCCTTAAACATCATGTTCAATGCAATGACGTCATCTCTGAAGTAACATAGTTAGATCTACACGTCAATCACACAAAGCTAAGTCACAATTTTCGCTTCTTTTTTTAACATTTTTTTTCAATAAGTCGCTACAAATATATATTTAACCTTGAAGCAACCATGATGGTAACAGACAAGCTGACTTTGTTTGAAAAATATACTTATATGAATACCACCAATGTTTTGTTCATCAACAATGATTCATAAGGTACTTTATCTGCTGGTCCCTCAGACTGACAGTCACATAAATTACCGGTCAAAGCCAAATTTTACCAGTAAAAACTGGTAATTACCAGTAAACAGGAACACTGCTATTCTGACACAATCATCATATGATCAGAAAACAGGAACCAACATTCTATAACATGTCCACCTAAAAACAAAAACAAGCAACATATATTCTTAATCTTGTTGATATTTGCTTTCAATCCCCATTAATTTAATAAACAAGTTTATTTTGTTCATTGTAAATATATGTCTCTACTTACATCATCCAATGTCTCCAGAGAAGCAAGATCATCTGCTGTCTGTATTGCTTCTCGTCTAGACTTGCGACGTGACTTCATGCGGCCATGTTTGGTCGTGATGTCCGGCTCGTGGATGGTCCGCTCCATCTCTGATGTTAGTTGTTTCAGTTTCTCCTTGTACTGAAACATCCACCAATGAGGTCTTGTCTATAATTACAGTAACAGTTCCTGGCATTCAAGACAGGAGGTATGCGTACTGAGTAGAGTGTTATCACACAGTTGGGATATATCGATCATTACTCTTCACCATGAAGCCTCAATACCCAACTCCTTTCATAGAAGTTAATATATTACTACTGTTGATCCTATCCCAAATCAGAATCTCATTATAAATTGATTCATGAGTGACAAAAATGATGTCCGATGCAATTCCCTTTGTTCACTTGTACCATATTTTCCCATGTTTTTTCAGGTGACCAACTGACTTGCCTTTGCATGTGTTTGTAACAGGTGCTACCAGAGGAGCAGGATACGCTTATCTTTTCATGAACATCTGGTATCATCACTATTTGATGGTGGTCCACTTAACAATGTTCATGACATGGTCAGAATTATACAATGGACTCTGGTTTCAGCAGAGATTTCTTGTGATTATGGAAAGGGTTTTGCCGCATATATTTCCATCAATTTGTCAATCTTAAATCATAAATCTGAGGAACACCAACCTCAGTTGGGTCTTGTGGCAGGTCTTCTATGAATGGGTGGTTCAAGAGACCTTCTGTGAATGGTCTTTCCTCAAAATCTTTAATCAGGCATCTGTGGAAGGAAATATCCATATTACTATGACAGTGTGTGTGAGTGGGGGCTTGACACAGCTTATTACTTTATTTCAAATACAGTTGGTCTTCCTAATGTAAGAGGAAAACGCAAAGTGACAAATATTGTAAGATTATCATTATCATGGTGAATATGGGTACATACAGACCAAGGCTCATTATCATGGTGAATATGGGTACATACAGACCAAGGCTCATTATCATGGTGAATATGGGTACATACAGACCAAGGCTCATTATCATGGTGAATATGGGTACATACGGATCAAGGCTTATTATCATGGTGAATATGGGTACATACAGACCAAGGCTCATTAACATGGTGAATATGGGTACATACGGATTAAGGATCATCATGGTAAATATGGGTACATACGGATCAAGGATCATTATCATGATGAATGTGGGTACATACAGACCAAGGCTCATTATCATGGTGAATATGGGTACATACGGATCAAGGATCATTATCATTGTGAGAATGGGTACATACAAACCAAGGATCATTATCATGGTGAATATGGGTACATACGGATCAAGGGTAATTATTATGGTGAATATGGGTACATAAGGATCAAGGGTAATTATTATGGTGAATATGGGTACATACAGACCAAGGATCATTATCATGGTGAATATGGGTACATACGGATCAAGGCTCATTATCATGATGAATGTGGGTACATACAGACCAAGGCTCATTATCATGGTGAATATGGGTACATACGGATCAAGGATCATTATCATGGTGAGAATGGGTACATACAGACCAAGGATCATTATCATGGTGAATATGGGTACATAGGGATCAAGGGTAATTATTATGGTGAATATGGGTACATACAGACCAAGGATCATTATCATGGTGAATATGGGTCCATACAGACCAAGGATCATTATCATGATGAATGTGGGTACATACAGACCAAGGCTCATTATCATGGTGAATATTGGTCCATACAGAACAAGGATCATTATCATGGTGAATATTGGTACATACGGATCAAGGGTAATTATCATGGTGAGAATGGGTACATACGGATCAAGGGTAATTATCATGGTGAGAATGGGTACATACAGACCAAGGATCATTATCATGGTGAATATAGGTACATATAGATCAAGGGTAATTATCATGGTGAATATGGGTACATACGGATCAAGGATCATTATCATGGTGAATATGGATACACAAAAACCAAGGATCAATATATTATCATAATGAATATGGGTACATACGGATCAAGGATCATTATCATGGTGAATATGGGTACATATGGACCAAGGATCATTGTCATGGTAAATATGTGTAAACAAAGATCAAGGATAATTATCATGGTGAATTAGGAGTACATACACACGAAAGATAATTATCATGGTGAATATGTGCATATATATACCAAGGTTCATTATCATCATGAATATGGGTAAATGTGGACCAGGGATCATTATCATGGTGAATATGGGTATATACAGACCAAGGATCATTATCATGGTGAATATGGGTAAACACAGATTAAGAGTAATTATCATGGTGAATTATTTACAGACTGCTGCCACATAGCAGGATTATTTTTGAGTGAGGCGTTAAAGAACAAACAAACACACTTTATCAAATGTTCCTTCACTATAATACATCTACAAGTACATAAACATTTGTTGACATCAACTTAATACAATAAAGTGTTTTGCTGACATGATGTTTTATCACAAGTATGGGTAAGCTAGTAATTTGTTACCATCAAGTTAACATCTATGCACAATTCAATATTCAAAAACAATTCTATTTTTTTATAAATGCTTACTTTTTAACAAAATCCTTAAAGTTTTGTGACCAGAGATCAGGCTGCCTGAATGTGGGTGGCGGTGACCTGAAATAGACAAATATGCAATATACAACTTATCTCCTGCCATATATGACAGATAGGGTGCAATATACAACACACAGAGTGCAATATACATCATACAAAAAAACACATCCATATCTGTCACTGATGATCAGCAGGTCGTGCAATATCTACAATGTCTACAACCACACAAAAGTGTTATTTCTGCACATATCTACAATGTCTACAACTGCACAAAAGTGTTCATTCAAAATCTGTGAAATGAATTACAAACTGTAACATTGATTTTGAAAGATATATAAGCAAATGGTTTTGGAATAATACAAATTTGAATAAAAAATATAAGATTTCATCAGGGGATATACAGGTGAAGCTTGACATTGCACTGTGACTACTCACTCTGACAGTGAATAAACACACTTGACAAACAATAAATATCACAGATCACAGCATGTGGACATGCTTATCACAAATATAACCATAACATTTTAAAGTCATGTCAAATTGTTAAGAGACATGCACATTAACAAAAAAACATTACAATTTGACTTCATTTAGATACTATAGAAAACTTACACCTGAAACAAAACAGTCAAAATCTGAAAGAACAAAATCATTGATCATAAGTGAATAAATCTACAAAATATGTCCGATATAAATAGAACCATAATCCTGAAAGTGCCACATACTCTTACAACTTGGATGTCAGCATGACCTGCCCAAGGAATACATGACTAAACTCCAGTGACAGATCGCTGACACTACCCATAGTCTTAAAACAAACCTGGACTTACTTCTACACAGTCACACACAATGTATTGTGTCACGTTAGATCGGGCCAATCTCCGATCACCAACCTGGAGAAGGGCTCAGCCTGATTTGACCCCAATGAACCCAACCATAATTTGTATCTGATAAGACGACCAGTTGAGCGGGTTGCGTCACACCTACATATTTATTGGAGATTGCTCAGGTGTGCAACATACATATTTTTATGTATTTTAAAGATATGTCAAGAATATTGTGATTCGGGGATGAAGAATGAACTTTGAAATGATAAATCATCAGATACCATTAAATATGTCAAGAGTGTTCAAGTGAGCATTTTGTAATACACAGCATTTAAGACATAACTTTATTTATTTTGTACATGGTTGTCTTGGCGACATGAAGATTCTTTTAAAAAATCTTTGGTTTAAATTCATTTGATTTGAGGCAAATTTTCGTAATATCTTGAAATAAAACTTTAAGCAAAAGAAGAAAAAATATTTTTTAACAAGCACAGAATTTATTTTATATTTTTTAACTTTTGAAACGTTTAGGTATAGCTCGTGTGTAAATCGAAATAAACGTGTCTGAAAATACTCACTTAATACTGTTTATCATTAATTTTTATAATCAATTTAAGGATTATTTTATTCGAATTTTATCCAATAAAAGTAAATATCATGTTTCTTCAAATCAAAACATAGCCTTCACTGCAAATCAACATCAGACTTGTCCCCACAAGTAGGAGAGCTTGACTACATTGTAACGTGTTACCAAAACACTATCGACTCTCTGCTATTAATCTTTGTATGTGTACAACTAGGAAGTGATTCCCTACTTATCAGCACCTACATATATACTGCAGGGGGCATGTCACAAGCACAAAACATATACCCCCTTATCAGTGTCACAGTGTGGTGCAGGCAGACGTGGGACGTGGGTTGTTAACAAATGTGAGCTGTAATCTGATTGGTTAAAATGACATTCCGTTGTTAAAGTGGATATCCAAACTGACTGGTCAATTTATTTCAAAACTCAGAAATGAGGACTTTTGAACATGGTTTAATATCCTACTCAACATATGATAGGGATATTCTGAGTATCCAGGTGGGGATAAATCTGATTGGTTGTTTGGTGATTTGTGATGTTGTACGAAATGGATACAATTTGGGCATGAAACTGACACATGTTAAGCCTCATTTCAAGCAATAATTAACAAAAGTAAACATTTATAAACGTTGTCTCCCAATTTTCACAAGCATGTGAGCTAGCACAGTATCCTTATCAGGAGTTGAGTAGTATATTTTTCTTGTTCTAAATTTTGATGATGTGGTATTTAATGTTAATGATTAGAATGCCTATAATCAAATATTTTAATTTTACTCTACATTTAAACAACCCAAATATAGCCAATGACCCCCAACAGGGTAAGGTAATGGGAGACATTGACTTTATCAATACTGCACAATTTTAAAAAGGCTAATGTATCTGTGTGGGTTATTCACTATAAGTATCGTCAGGGAGTGACCACACCCAGAAGCCCCCAGAAGTATGGATCGAAACATGAGACATGAATAAACCAAGCCTTTCATAAACAGACTGACTCTACACTTCAGCCACGCTTTTCATATTTTATATTATTTTTCACAATTGTAATACTTTTTATAATCAATTTTCAGTTAACTTTCTGGCTTTCAATTTTTTGCTTTATATTTGACATAAAGTTGATTGGGTCAGTCAGTTTGTGGGAAATAATAAATACTAATTTTTTTTTTAATGAAGGTCGTTTACAATATCTACAGTAACAACTGTCATGTATTGTCCAGACACCTTGACCTATGACCTATACTATATTAGCATATCATGACATCATCACTAAATGTGTACAAGCCTCACTATCAGTCATGTATACCACGATGGAAATAAACATGAATGTCACATGTTCCCATTTCAATCTCCCAACATCTGACTCACCAAACATGAAGTACTTACAGAGAAGTCCTTATTTGTTTTTTTGTAAGGTGTTTGCAGTAGCCAGAGACTATATCAAATACATTATATCAAATCAATTATAATTTAATAAAGTTCATTTATTTTTTTCTAATGTTTAACAACAAAAGAAAGATTAAACAAGCATTAATAAATTTAAAGTATTTCATTCTTTTTGTGTGTGAGTGTGTAATTTGTAAATTGAAAAAAGAGAAGTCCTAGGTGAAGGATGTTTGTTACGTTTTATCAGGCTCCTGATGTATTTACTCCTCTCAGAGCAGAGCATGCTCTTGATGTGTTGCATGGCCAGACATGGCCAGACATGGCCAGACACTAGATACAGTCACTTTGATCAATTATTAGTTAAAAAGTTAACCGTTACATTTTGTTTATTTTTTGCAGCAGCATCTTCATAATTTTTAATCCATTAAAGATAGAATTTTAGAGTACTTTTATTTCATATTTGTCTTTCGGTTTTTGGCAATGGTCAGATGAAATTAACTGGAAATATGAAAGAGGGTGTGGCCTTGGTCCCAATGTCTCAAATATATTTTGTCATATATTTTGTGTCTATGATATTCTTGTCAATATGCAAAGAAGATATGTAGGAGGCAAACTTTTAAAAAATTAAAATAACTTTCTGAACTTCATGAGTTTCTTACAATCACAAGTGAAAAAAAACACTTGGCAGAGAAAGCATGAGAGGACATTGTACACACTTGCTGTGGTTCTAATTCAAGCCTCATAGTGTTTGTGTTCCAATTTTGGATTCTGAAAAGAAGCCAGTGTGAAAATTGAAATGTGTCATTTAGGGAGCATCAACTTTGCTGAGCAACTCCAAAAGGATATGTGTCTGTAAATAGGCATGTGGTCATGGATGTCCAGTTTTTTACCAGTAATTTTACCTTATATCCTGCTGATGTCAATGCCATTATTAACACAAGACTTTCCACATCAACACAGTGGTTCACATGAAGCTGCAGGCTAAGATTTGAACACACTGAACTCTTGATAATCTGGAAACCTTCTTTAAGGACATTTTGCTGTTGTAAATGTTTGTGCAAATACAAAGGAAGTAAAGCTGTAAAGTAATTTGTTGATTTAGAAATCAGCTAATAAAGTTGATTTCACAGGGAGAGTTTTGTTCGGGTTATCATGGTACAGGACAATGCAGCCAATGGCACATCCGAAAGACCCTGGTGTGTGTGTGTGTGTGTGTGTGTGTGTGTGTGTGTGTGTGTGTGTGTGTGTGTGTGTGTGTGACTTTGTTTCTCACCTAGCAACAAGACTATTGAACATGTTTGTGATTGGTGGAGAAAGGGAGACAACTCTATGAGAAATGGGATCACTTGAACATGTTTGTGATTGCTGGAGAAAGGGAGACAACTCTATGAGAATTGGGATCACTTGATCGTGTTTGTGATTGCTGGAGAAAGGGAGACAACTCTATGAGAAATAGGATCACTTGAACGTGTTTGTGATTGCTGGAGAAAGGGAGACAATTATATGGGATTGGGATCACGTGAACGTGTTTGTGATTGCTGAAGAAAGGGACACAACTCTATGAGAATTGGGATCACTTGAACGTGTTTGTGATTGCTGGAGAAAGGGAGACAACTCTATGAGAAATGGGATCACTTGAACATGTTTGTGATTGCTGGAGAAAGGGAGACAACTCTATGAGAAATGGGATCACGTGAACGTGTTTGTGATTGCTGGAGAAAGGGAGACAACTCTATGAGAAATTGGATCACTTGAACGTGTTTGTGATTGCTGGAGAAAGGGAGACAATTCTATGAGAATTGGGATCACGTGAACGTGTTTGTGTTTGCTGGAGAAAGGGAGACAACTCTATGAGAATTGGGATCACGTGAACGTGTTTGTGATTGCTGGAGAAAGGGAGACAACTCTATGAGAATTGGGATCACGTGAACGTGTTTGTGATTGCTGGAGAAAGGGAGACAACTCTGAGAATTGGGATCACTTGAACGTGTTAGTGATTGCTGGAGAAAGGGAGACAACTCTATGAGAATTGGGATCACTTGAACGTGTTTGTGATTGCTGGAGAAAGGGAGACAACTCTATGAGAAATGGGATCACTTGAACGTGTTTGTAATTGCTGGAGAAAGGGAGACAACTCTATGAGAAACAGGATCACTTGAACGTGTTTGTGATTGCTGGAGAAAGGGAGACAACTTTATGAGAATTGGGATCACTTAAACGTGTTTGTGATTGCTGGAAAAAAGGGAGAAAACTACATGAGAATTGGCATCACTTGAACATGTTGTGATTGCTCAAGCTTCTCGCAGCGATAGCCCATACGCGGAGCTCTCTATACTATCGCTGCCACCAGTCAAAACTCCCCACTGTGATAGGTGGCCCCAACCATGCTTGGAGTTGAACCCGCAACCGAATGACCGTTATGTTTACAAACAAATGACGACTGTCGTGATGCTTACCCCTGTTTAATTACTTTCTTTGTTTGTCAATTCAAATTTCTATTTCAACTATCATGTTATTGATATAGTAAGAATGTAAGGGAGAAATTGGTTGATATTCCGTTAGTCTGCAATCTTGAACCAATTGTGGAATCCTCTTAGCCCTGGATGTCCATAAAATATAACAAAATAAATATAATGTGTTTGACCTTTTCATTTTAGAGTGACATGGTAAGAAATGTGAATAGGTATTATGTGAACCCATATTCAACAGCAAAGATCTTGTAACAGTGCATCTCATAACACCAGCCTGGCCAATACAAACCAGAGGTTGACTGAGTTAATATACTTTATATTGCTGTCAGTAATGTGCGTTTTTTGTACCTAGAATGAGAGATGATGAAAGGGGTTCATACTATGCACAGGGTGGAAAATTTTATGGGTTTTTTTCAAGCCTTTTCAGATTCCACTGGCGATGTCAACTGTTCTGTCAGATTTCTTTATTCATGCTACATTATATATGCAAATAAAGTTTAGATGATCCTGGCCTTGGTCCAGATTGCCAAACCAGCTGACATGGTGAAAAAGAAAATCAATATTCAGCAATAGAAAGCTGGAAGTAAAATGGCAAGATCATCTCAAATTAGCTGTACACATTTTGTGTAAGTTATTTTCTGTATATACATCATGTAAATGACCACTGCATTTCCAATGTTCCAATAAACATGCAGGCAATATCAAGGTGATAAATATAACATGCTTACATAGATGAAGCGACACATGACAAGCAGATCTGATGCACACACACAACTGGGTCATAACTGCCATCCATATTTGGGTATTGTGTCCAACTGAAGCTAAGCAAGTCGGTGATATAGGTCCATGCTGTTCATTCTCTGTGTCTTGTGTGTGTACAAACATCTCCCCAGCATGTTACCCAGTCAGAGAGTGAGTGAGTGAGTTTGATTTTACGCCGCTTTTAGCAATATTCCAGCAATATCATGGCGGGGGACACCAGAAATGGGCTTCACACATTGTACCCATGTCGGGAATCGACCCCGGGTCTTCAGCGTGACGAGCGAACGCTTTAACCACCAGGCTACCCGACCACCCCGTTACCCAGTCAGCAGGATTTACCGTGATGCACTGACTTCATATTGAAGTGATCTGATTTTAACTCTTAATTTGAACAGTAGTATGGTTATAACTGGGGTATTGCCTAAATGTAGATGGAAAGTCCCTGGGACCAATTTAATATGCTACTCAAAAGAAGTTAAGGACCGCCCGATTCTTTCATATTACTGCATATGTTAACTGTCACGCCATGAAAGTTAACTATAGTCATATGAAAGAATCATGTGGTCCTTAACTTCTTTTGAGTATGATGTTTAAGAGAATCTGGAATTCAAACCAAAGATCCTGACACAGCAAATGGGTGCAATTCTGTACAACTTAGACCAATTATTTAATGAAAATATACCTTGTGATCTGTACAGGTAAGCCAGGACGTGTTGAGCCAACCCACAAAACACGTATGAGACAAGCAGGTGGTGCACAGACTTTGGGCAAACATATTTGGTTTGTTACAGGTAGAGAGGGTAGACGCATGTTGTGCATGTGCAGGTCATGACGATGAAATTGACTACGCTCCTGTAGACACACATGTTGCTCATAAGACTATTAAGAGGTCGGTGTGACAAGTCGATACCATAATTCTCAAAAAGTCGTTTGATAGAAGCTAATAAAAAACAAACACGTCAAAGCTAAGTAAGCATGGCCAAATCATACATTATCAGGTTCAAGAATTGGCTTATGTCATAAATTACATTGAGAAATAGTGTACATTTTGATGATTGACATGACACTGTTTCATTATTGATCTCTGGGGTAAAAATAGTATTCCATTTTTATAGCAAAAAAGATTTCCTTCACTGTCATGATAATTCTCAATTTGTGTTTTCTATGCAAATTTGCTGCCACCGTTTTCATGGTCATTCGGTACCTCACATCAGGAGATACCGGTACGATTATGTGCTATTGAACTGCCACTAGAACTCGTAAGTCGAGACAGGACATGCACATATCCATCATACTACCTGTCGCGAACCACCTGCTAGCCCTTTCTTCCCAATGGTACACGCCAGAGGGCGGACCTCATACAGAGTCATAAGGGGTTAGTTGTCAGGTCTCACCTCAACGTATCCTCGCTTACCAGCAGTTATCAACACTTTGGGAGATGTAAATGCATTTCATCAAATATTGTTTCCATGTAACATAAATTGCTAGATTAATATTAAATATCTTTGAGGCATGAGCTGTCATTTTTTCAATTCACATGAGTTCAACAAATCTAGCAATTTTTTTACAACAATGCTATATGAGCCAAATACATTTACTCATAAATTCATCGACATCCATTCCCCTGAAAGTTGAAAATATACAGCCTCTCCATTATCATATCCAAAGTCCTTTGACTATATCAGTTCTCAGTTCATATATAGCAGACCTGGGAGGTTTCAGATCTACATCATGTTATCCAGTTCATTCAGTTATTAAAATAATGATGAAAGATTATATTGCAGTCATAAATAAAATTGAATTTCACACAAACACTCCAAATACTGTTTATTATTAATAATATTGAGATATTTCCTTAGCAAGTAAGTAAATGGAAGACCACTGGAACGTCACAAGTTCATTCAAGAAGGCTACAGGGGGCCAGCTCTATGTCCACAAAATATATAATGTCCCTATAATGTCCCTATAATATCCTTATAATGTCCATAAAATGTCCTTATAATGTCCATGGGTCTGGTTTGTAGGAACTGATGAAGTAACATAAAAGCATATATATGCATAAATATTTGAAGCATGTCTAAAATCTCACCCTCTTTCAGGGGACGGTTTTATGTGGCTGAAATGTTGACATTTAAAAAATACATCCTCGGTTATAGCTATCGTATCAGGATGTCCATTACACCCGACACACATTCCAGACCAGCAGCTGGTTACAGGGTGATACAGGGTTTGGGATGTTCAGTGGGCCTTTGAAGAATGTACATTTCTAGTTTTAATACAGGTCTACCAAAGAAAACCAGCAGAGAGCCTTCAAACTACGGAATATGTACACACCTTAATTAGAAATAACCACAAACATTTCAAACAAGGACACAAGCCCATAAAGTTTGCATCGTAATGATTAAAACCTGACACATTTTCTATGGGACCTGACACAGTAAATCACGCAGACCGCAACAAAACCGAGAGCGCAAGCACAGATCTGTTATGGAACTCGTTGGCAGTCAATAAGTGTTAAGAAGGCGAGAATGTGGTGAGTGTCATTTCTCACAACTTCAACATGCCATACAATGCAAAATTTATGAGACTGTGTCATCTTTTGTATTTTGTGTTGCTATTTCTAAAGTGTGTAAATATTCCACACTGTGGCATCTTCCCAAGGCAAGGGAGTTCACTGACTATAAAAGTCCAGTTTCCACCCTTGCCGAACTAGGCTGGTATTATGGAGTTACATTTTGGCTGGACTAACGAGTCTATGCATAGTCCAATCAAAATCTTGCAACGAAATCGAAATCCGGTTTGTAAACTGTCGTGCAGATTCCGGTCGATTTACAAAGCATGTGCACCGCCAACTCGTTGTCAACATATTTTCCAAATCTTTTCATGTTTTTAATCAAGGTGCTCACGTGATTTGATGCACTTCGCGATGTGAGACCCGTTTTATCACAGTATAGATCTTGATTTTCAAATAGATCGTTTTGACTGAGCGCCGCCATTTGGTTTGAAGCAAATGCAAGTAATGCAAGAGGTGGGATTTGATTGGTCCAAAAGAGAGCCTTAGAAGGGACATAACTCGTAGTAGCCACTGGTGGTGCTACGATCGAGCCCAGTAATTCCAGCCTAGTTCGGCAAGGGTGGAAACTGGACTTATGAAGTCAGTTAACTCCATTGCCTCGGGAAGATGTACTTTGGTAGCTCTCTGCTGGTTTTCTTTGGAAGACTGAATATTGAAAATGAAATGAATGACCATCTAGAGCAAAAGACACAACATGTTATCCACAGACTTCTATAAATATTTTCATACTCATTTGTAAAAATCACACAAAAATGTATTCTCAAAGTAACTCCCCAAAAAAGCCTCCCTAATGCATTTACAATACGATATCAACAAAAAAATGTGTTGTTTACGAAAACGAAATTTGGATATGGTGTTGATAATGATCTCACCTGGCTATCTTAAAAAGGGCTCTCCGAGGGTCAATGTCAGCCAGAGGGGGTGCTCCGTCAGCCAGCTCGATGGCAGTAATCCCCAGGGACCATATGTCACAGCGGATGTCGTAGGAGTACTCGATCTGCTGCTCACAGGCAATCACCTGAACACATTCATACAAACTTGATTATATTGTTTTCCCTAACAGAACAGACAAAACCTAAGTCACTCAAGCCACATAGGGCTAATTATGAAATAGTGGCTTGTATATGTGAGACTAAATCTGGGAGGGAAAAACCCACACAAAATAAAACTACTAAAAACACCTTGATTTTATCTGTAGACATTTTTCATGTATCCGAACAAGCCCTTGATATATATACACAATAGCATTATTAAGCATCACCTAAATCAAAGGTAAATTTTGAAAATTTTGGTTCGAACAGACAACCATACCATTGCATACTTGAATGTCAATGCAAAGCATGTGCTTCACACAGTTTCTCAAAAGCCATGGATCGCTTGTTCACGTGCTGCGAAGGTGCAAAGCCCATTCGGGTATAAGTTTCCGAATCACAGTATGTGAAGGGACCGTCCTTTTGAAATTCTGAGGGGGAGGGGGCCTGGGATTCTGTATCGAGATTGATATCTTTTCAACTACAGCTACAAAACCAGATATTTTTTATTTAAAACTGTGAGTCTGGATTTTTAAAGGAAAAACAACCTGCAACAATGTAATTTTTGTGGCAGGCAATTTCTTTTCTTTTCAACAGTCTGAAGAATAATTAATTTTTTCAAGAATTTTCAAGGACAATTTGTTTTTTCAATGAAATCCCATCCCCCCCTCAGAATATTAAGTGGTGGTCCCTTACAGCAGTGCCAGCTACCCACGGGGAACAAGGAGATAAGTACCTCGGGTGCCATCCAGTACGGAGTCCCAACGTGAGTTTTCCGCCGCCCAAGAGCTCGATCAAGATGACCAGACACTCCTATACACACAAACAACTTTTTAAACACATTTTACAAATGATCAAACAGCAAAAAAAGCTGAAAGATGCCCTTTAATCATCAAGCTTCGAGTAATTTTATTAATAGAGCAACTGGGTTAATCCTGATGATATTGCTAACACGAAAATCATCAAAATTAACAACTTTCAGGATTAGTTAACATGGGTTGGTTGGTTGGTTGGTTGGTTGGTTTGTTGTTTAACGCCACACTCAGCAATATTCCAGCTATATGACAGCGGCCTGTAAATAATCTGTCTGGACCAGACAATCCTGTGATTGATATGAGCATTGATCCACGCAATTGGGGTCGATGACATGCATCAACCAAGTCAGCGAGCCTGACCACCCGATCCCGTCAGTTGCCTCTTGCGACAAGCATAGTCACCTTTTATGGCAAGCATGGGTTGCTGAAGACCTAGTCTACCCCCGATCTTCAAGGGTCTTATCATGGGCACACAGCAATGCCCATTTGCAAATACATACATGTTACTATAAGGGTAATGCTCTTTTTCAGGGCATTATCATTTGCAGAAGCCCGAGGTCTTCCATTAACTGCCAGACATAGGAGGGCAGTTGAAAAGATTGAAACATTTACTGCAATCAACACAAATTTCACTGACCCACTTTTATGAATATGGAAACATCATAGAACAAACCAGATGACGTCTCTATTTAATGTGACATCACCTTTCCCTATCCCCATGACGTCACCTAACAACGGGCGTGATAATGCCCTGTTGTCAAGCAATATGAGGGCATAATCAAGTTACAGTGGCCCGCTCATTTATGATAGCAAGCGGGCGGTTTAATGATAATTCTATCCATTTTAGCTATAAAAACAACTAGTCCAGAAGGCAATGTTACCATAGTATCTGGCCCCAGACTAAAAGGGTTGGCCATCACCAATTTTTGGAACCGACACAGAGATGTTATGAATATTGTTTCAATTATCATTACTTGGTTTACGACCCTAGAAAATAAGCAAAGTGGACAAAAACAAAGTTACAGGCTAAAGTTGTTGTTTTTTATCACTCCCAAACATAATAATCACAAATTGTTTCCCTGCCTGACTGAGACAAGTGTTATCTCATCAATGACCAGTAAAATGTTTGCTTTAGTACTGTTCATGGCTGCACTGGCATGCAAGCTAATGTAAACGCTATGAAATATGTGATATTCCCGTCACATTTCAGAAAAATGCCAAAGAGAAAATATTAAAAAAAATAAGGCCTCATTCTACATCCCTTTTTGACAAAAAGAAAAGAAAGAAAAAAGGCCTAAGGTTTCCAAACCACAGATGAACAGATCCAGGGATGTTTCATAAGAAATTGAAGAAGTCTTGCAGTGTAAACTATGTACATACCGAAGTCCACTAATTTGATCTCCCCAGACTCAGTGATGAGGATGTTGTGACCTTTGATGTCTCTGTGCATGACGTTGTTGCTGTGGAGATGGTTCAGAGCCTGCAGCAGACATTCAGAATAGTTAGCAATCAGAATCAGAAAAACACACACATCATAGACCAGAATAAACTCACACATGTCACATCAGAATAAACACACATATCCAAAATAAGAATAAACACACATATCCAAAATAAGAATAAATGCACATATCCCAAAGCAGAATAAACACACACATACAAGGTCATAAGAAACACACACACATCCTCGATCAGAATAAACACACACATCCCATGTCAGAATAAACATACACATCCCAGATCAGAAATATGGATACAAAGAACATATCCCAGGTCAGAATAAACACACACATCCCAGGTCAGAATTAACACACACATCCCAGGTCAAAATAAATACACACATCCCAGATCAGAAATAGGGTCACAAAGAACATAAATTGTTCATTATTGTTGTTGCAACTCAACTAAATATCCATACACATTTTTAAATGCAATCATTTTGAGAGCAGGGCATGTTGCAAATGCATTGTCAGAATCATCAGTGACATTGCTGTTGACCAAAACAAAGGAACACACAGGATGAGGAAAGGTAGAGCTCCCTACCTTCAGTGTCTCCCTAAGTATGTGGCCTATAAGTCCCTCTTCCAGTCGTTTACTGTCCTTGATGAGAGCCCGGCTCAGGTCCGTCACAGTTCCACCTCCACACATCTGGAAGCATACATCAGCAGAATGCAACAAGTCATAAATCTTCTGATCAGTTTCCAAAACGAGGGCTAAAGCACAGATCTCAAATTAATGTTCACCTTACTTTTCCTCCTCCAAAAAAACACATTACAAAGCACAATCAAAGAATATACAATTCATTTGAAATGTTCATAATCATGACATCTTCTCCTTCTGAAGCATCCCTTCCTTCAATGGATATGGAAACATGGAGAAGTTCATGATAATGCCACAAGACCTACACTTCTCCTTCTGAAGCTGCTCTTCGTCTTAACATGTCTGGAAGCTTGGACAAAGTGATGATCTGTCTGTATAATGTACAGCAATGACACAATGTCTGGAAGCTCGGACAAAGTGATCATCTGTCTGTATTATGTACAGCAATGACACAATGTCTGGAAGCTCGGACAAAGTGATGATCTGTCTGTATAATGTACAGCAATGACACAATGTCTGGAAGCTTGGACAAAGTGATCATCTGTCTGTATAATGTACAGCAATGACACAATGTCTGGAAGCTCGGACAAAGTGATGATCTGTCTGTATAATGTACAGCAATGACACAATGTTTGGAAGCTTGGACAAAGTGATCATCTGTCTGTATAATGTACAGCAATGATACAATGTTTGGAAGCTTGGACAAAGTGATCATCTGTCTGTATAATGTACAGCAATGACACAATGTCTGGAAGCTCGGACAAAGTGATGATCTGTCTGTATAATGTACAGCAATGACACAATGTCTGGAAGCTCGGACAAAGTGATGATCTGTCTGTATGATGTACAGCAATGACACAATGTCTGGAAGCTTGGACAAAGTGATCATCTGTCTGTATAATGTACAGCAATGACACAATGTCTGGAAGCTCGGACAAAGTGATGATCTGTCTGTATAATGTACAGCAATGACACAATGTCTGGAAGCTTGGACAAAGTGATCATCTGTCTATATAATGTACAGCAATGACACAATGTCTGGAAGCTCGGACAAAGTGATGATCTGTCTGTATAATGTACAGCAATGACACAATGTTTGGAAGCTTGGACAAAGTGATCATCTGTCTGTATAATGTACAGCAATGATACAATGTTTGGAAGCTTGGACAAAGTGATCATCTGTCTGTATAATGTACAGCAATGACACAATGTCTGGAAGCTTGGACAAAGTGATCATCTGTCTATATAATGTACAGCAATGACACAATGTCTGGAAGCTCGGACAAAGTGATGATCTGTCTGTATAATGTACAGCAATGACACAATGTTTGGAAGCTTGGACAAAGTGATCATCTGTCTGTATAATGTACAGCAATGACACAATGTCTGGAAGCTTGGACAAAGTGATCATCTGTCTATATAATGTACAGCAATGACACAATGTCTGGAAGCTCGGACAAAGTGATGATCTGTCTGTATAATGTACAGCAATGACACAATGTCTGGAAGCTCGGACAAAGTGATCATCTGTCTGTATAATGTACAGCAATGACACAATGTCTGGAAGCTTGGACAAAGTGATCATCTGTCTGTATAATGTACAGCAATGACACAATGTCTGGAAGCTCGGACAAAGTGATGATCTGTCTGTATAATGTACAGCAATGACACAATGTCTGGAAGCTCGGACAAAGTGATCATCTGTCTGTATAATGTACAGCAATGACACAATGTCTGGAAGCTCGGACAAAGTGATGATCTGTCTGTATAATGTACAGCAATGACACAATGTCTGGAAGCTTGGACAAAGTGATCATCTGTCTATATAATGTACAGCAATGACACAATGTCTGGAAGCTCGGACAAAGTGATGATCTGTCTGTATAATGTACAGCAATGACACAATGTTTGGAAGCTTGGACAAAGTGATCATCTGTCTGTATAATGTACAGCAATGACACAATGTCTGGAAGCTTGGACAAAGTGATCATCTGTCTATATAATGTACAGCAATGACACAATGTCTGGAAGCTTGGACAAAGTGATCATCTGTCTACATAATGTACAGCAATGACACAATGTCTGGAAGCTTGGACAAAGTGATCATCTGTCTATATAATGTACAGCAATGACACAATGTCTGGAAGCTTGGACAAAGTGATCATCTGTCTATATAATGTACAGCAATGACACATACACTTCTCCTCCTGGAGCTGCCCTTCCCCCAAAAAGTCTGGAAGGTCGGACAAAGTGATGACACCTACCTCCATCACAAGCCATATCTGGTCCTCCGAGCTTCCGTCCCGCTTGAGATACATCCCGAAGAAGTCGGGGATGTTGGGATGGGTGCTGAGGTCTCGGAGCACCTGAAACTCCTCCTCCACCTCCTCCAGGACCTCATGGATGGACTCCATCACCTTGGCGGCAGCCTGGACTCCTGGAAGGACAAGAAACATTCTCAGATGCACTTAATTACATGAAATGAGGGCTATTTCCAATTGCATGAAATCTGTTGAATGAAGCTGAAGAAAAATAAAATTACATTATTATATGATTTTTTTTAAATTATGGGGGAACCTACTAAAATAAATTTCAAAGCAAAAAAAGAATTCACATGCTGTGTTTGATTAAATCATGCCTTTGAGGACTGTTTCTAATGCATTGAAGTTTGTTTTCTTCTGATAATTAACCTCAAATCAACCTTGACCATATTTCTTTAATAATTTGGCATCCTGTCTCTTGGCATACTGACCTAGAAAATCCATAAAACAGGACAACATATTGGTCTATACTCAAAATGAATCCACTAAATACACCTACAATCTACTGAAGCTCTCTCTAAAGATGATATACGCGTTTGGTTAACTAAATGCAATCACAAGACTCAAGTTGTTGACCTGTAGCAAGATCTGCTTATTTAGAATGTAGGTACAATGGGACAAATATATATTTCTAAAGATATCACACTGGTCCAGTTTAGATGCTTGTTTATTGTCTTTCATCCTGATGGTTTTGTATGAAGGAACTAATTAGTTTTTTTCTGAAGCAAAACATGAATAATGAATTTTAATTTATTTTCAACACTCTGTGTGATTGATTTTAGGAATTCATCTTGTACTTTAAGCAGTTCTGGTCAAAGTTGAAGGAGGAATATATCACAGTGAGCATTATCTAGTTCTCCTGAATTAAAACTGCAAAAAAGGTTAATAAATTTGATTTTATTAATGCTGACATTCCATCAACCATTGAAATGTCATATTGAAGGGTTCAACTTTGCAAATGATTACACAACAGGGAGAGCAGTATAGTGTCTTCAAGGGTGCCCCAGGGCACTAGTCCCATGCAGATCCTGGGTAGAATAGGTCTTCAGCAACCAATGCTTGCCGTAAAAGGCGACCATGCTTGTCGTAAGAGGCGATTAACAGGACTGGGTGGTAAGGCACGCTGCCTAGGTTGATGCATGTCATTGCTCATGATGTCAATCACTGGATTGTCTGGTCCAGACTGGAATATTTACAGACCACCGTCATATAGCTGGAATATTGCTGAGTGTGATGTTGAACAACAAACAAACAAACAAGTACAGACATTTAGGTCTGCCCTTTGGGTTTAAAATGTGCCAAGAATACTTTTCCATTAAGAAAAAAAGTAGGTTATTTACAACGCAGCTCATTACATGTGTTCATTTTTTACCATGTGTTTGTCCAGTCTACATGTCCAGAGTACACATATCACTGGCTTCATACAAATCACCACAAGTACTTCTTATCTCCAGAAACGTGATTTCTAAGGTTGTCCTTATTTCACCTGGAACCTATGTTTTGACCAAATAATTTTGATTAGAAATACTTAGCCATGGCACAAGATGTAGGCTGCTAGAGCTGAGAAGGGGGTAAGTAAAGGCTGCTAGAGCTGAGAAGGGGATGAGTACAGGCTGCTAACGCTGAGAAGGGGATGAGTATAGGCTGCTAAAGCTGAGAAGGGGATGGGTATAGACTGCTAGAGCTGAGAAGGGGATGAGTGTAAGCTGCTAGAGCTGAGAAGGGGGTGAGTGTAGGCTGTTAAAGCTGAGAAGGGGATGAGTACAGGCTGCTAAGCTGAGAAGGGGGTGAGTACAGGCTGCTAGTGCTGAGAAAGGTATGAGTGTAGGCTGCTTGAGCTGAGAAGGGGATGAGTGTAGGCTGCTAAAGCTGAGAAGGGGGTGAGTATAGGCTGCTAGAGCTGAGAAGGAGATGTGTATAGGCTGCTAGAGCTGGGAAGGGAATGAGTATGGGCTGCTGGAGCTGAGAAGGGGATGTGTATAGGCTGCTAGAGCTGAGAAGGAGATGTGTATGGGCTGCTAGAGCTGAGAAGGGGGATGGGTATAGGCTGCTAGAGCTGAGAAGGAGATGTGTATAGGCTGCTAGAGCTGAGAAGGAGATATGTATAGGCTGCTAGAGCTGAGAAGGGGATGTGTATAGGCTGCTAGAGCCGAGAAGGGGATGAGTACAGGCTGCTAAAGCTGAGAAGGGGATGAGTACAGGCTGCTAAAGCTGAGAAGGGGATGAGTACAGGCTGCCAGGGATGAGAAGGGGATGATTACAGGCTGCCAGCGATGAGAAGGCGATAAGAATGGAATGTGGGCGATGGTTGAAATAAATATTTGCTCTGGGGTCTGGAAAATCACATAAGCTGCACCAAGTGATTTCCAAAGAATTGTCCTTCCCTAGACTGTGTTCCTTACTTGTCTTCTTGTTCTTGGCCATGTACACCTCTCCATATGTGCCCTCGCCAATCAGGTCCTCCAGCTCCCATTCCTCCACTGGGTCTGGGAGCTCGGAGAAGTTGATGATCTGGCTGTATTGTGTGTACATCTTCAGCATAGTCGAGGCCTCATAGCCACCTGCAACAACAGAAGAGGTTGGTTACTCGAGGTTCACACAATTGACCTGAACAGGTCCACTCTGTACACTACACCCTGAACAAGTACACCATGATGAAAATGGTCGGAAGAATCTAAAATGCATCATCATACAGTAAGACCTTCCCTGCAACCTTTGCTGTGACCATGTCCCTGAATTCCGCTTATACCACGATCACAAACAAGGTCAGGATTTGAGGTTATGGAAGATCTCTGAAAATTTTCATGAAACATAACTCTGATACCTTTAACAAAATTGGTTCTACAAGATAATATAATATAATATTAATCATTATAATATTATTATAACCTTAATATGACCTTGACATCAAATGTTAAAGGTCACGATGTATATGATTAATACTTCAATCTGTAAGTGCGAAACATCTGCAAAAGCATGTGTGTCTCATAAAAAGTAGGTCACAATCACAGGTACGACAAATCAATCATCACCTGTCATCATTGAAATGCACAAATCACATAACTCCTGCATGCAATAGACTGTATAACAGACCCAGCTCAACATATGACACTACTCTTAGAAACCTAGAGGTGTAATGATACGGTGGGGTTGTGATACAATACATATCCTGATACTATGGGTGTGATATGATTCATATCCCGATACAGTACTTCTATTTCACAAGTTGATATTTTTTCTATTTGCAAGTGAATCACAACCCTGAATCATTTCTTATTTAATTTTCACAGATCAAAGATGGGATATTGTAGGGCAGAAACTTATTGGTAGTGGGCACTGTGAATGTTACGCTATTTGTAGCCAACTGGAAAATACTGGAGACCCTGTGTAAGCTGCTGGTTGAACTGTTTCTGTTATTATTCACATGTTTTTAGACCAATATAACTTGTAATATAATGTATCATAAGTATCACGATACAACATGGTAAAATTGATGTATTGTATTGTGGGCTTCGTATCACCTTACAATACTCTATCACTGTGTCGTTACACCACTACAGAAACCATTTTATCAGGTACAATAACATAAGGCATCAAACTACCTGAAGAACAAAACAGCACATTGACCACCAGAAGAATAACCTTCAGTGACCTTGACCCTCCACAAGTCACTTATGGTCAGTTTGTTTGCACCTCTGTCAAAAGGATGACCTATGTACCAAGTTCCATTGACCTACAGTACCCAGGTAATTACTTCTTGACTTTTCACATTCATTTATTTTTAAGACTGACCTACAAAACAACCTTGACATATGACAGAAGTGATAAGGGTGAGTGAGTGAGTATGGTTTTACGCTGCTTTTAGCAATATTCCAGCAATATCACGGCGGGGGACACCAGAAATGGAGTTCACATATTGTACCAATGTTGGGAATCGAACCCAGGTCTTCGGCGTGACGAGCGAACGCTTTAACCACAAGGCTACCTGACCGCCCCAGAAGTAATAAGAAGGACAGACACATTCCAAAGGCCATAAAGGAAATATATAGAGGTTATCACGCGAGTGTGTTTGGGGATGGTAAACATCCTGCATTAGGAATAAACATTGTATTTAGCGAGCCTTGGCGAGCTAAATACATAGTGTTTATTCCTAATACAGGATATTTAATATCCCCAAACACACAAGAGTGATAACCTCTTTATCATATAATGTCATTCTTTTATTTCGTGCTTCAAAATCGCTTTCCCTCTCTCACAAACATTACCGAAACATTGCGAGTTTTCCTGGAATGCACGCATTAATATTTATTACGTGATTTATATTTATTAAGTGATGTGTCAGTCATGTTTCTTATACAGTGGCGAAGCAACATATACGCAAAACAACAATTGTTTTTCATTGCCTTTCGCGGCAATCCATCGGTCTGTCCGCTAGAGTAACTGCCCTTTGTCAAAGGGAAGCTACTCTAACCCTAGTCAATGAGACGTCACGGCCACGGTCAGATGTTGTTGACAGTCGGTCTGTCCTGTCAAAACGATAAGAAGTGTAGTCAGATGTACACACAGCGACAAAACGAAACAAGGTAACAATTCAAACATATTTCCGCCAAATCCAACTATTTTAATTTATGGAGGAGGTTTCAAGCCGCAGAGGTCTACAAGCACAGATATGGCCACTGATCCCGCTTGGCTAGGCCTCGTGCCCTCGCCAAATTGTTTCGAAATTTATATCTCCAAAGTTGCCAAAACTTATAAAATGCCTTAGCTACGTCACAGTTAGACACAGATTTTCAGTATATAAGACTGTTCTTTTGATAATGAAAGCAATTATCCCTGTAGTTTATCCAGATTCCCGATGGTTAATTCTGACTCGATCGCCGAATGACGAGTGCGACGCCATGTTTGTTTATAAACAGTGAAAGTAGTCCCTACTTGACCTTTGATATTTGCATCTCTATCCGCATATGACCCCAACGGATATCGTTTTTATCCGTTGGCTTTATCCTGTCGAGAAACCTACCCATTATATGATAAATACTAATATAATGCGATATCTAGATCAATACACCAATAATTCTAAACCAAAAGGTGGCAGTGGCCTTTTGGTAAATTGCAGCCACAAAGTACCCCTAACAAGTATCAAGGGGAGGCTATGTAATACTTGAAGTGGAATACACCCATCACAGAGCAATTCATGGCATTCACAGGAATTGAATCAATCTACTGTTGCATGTGTCAGTAAGAAAAATGTCATTTAGTTGGGATTTATTTCAATTTCATTTATGGGAGGTGAGATTTTAATATCTGCCCCTCCCATGGCGATAGAGGAAGTTATCTGTGCATAATGTAGACTGTCCTTTGGTAGATTATATTGTAGATTGTATTATACTGTGTATATAATCCTATCATACCCTCCACAAGTCACTTATGGTCAGTTTGTTTGCACCTCTGTCAAAAGGATGACACAGTATTATACTGTGTATATAATCCTATCATACCCGAGAGTGGAAACGTTTATATAAATGACTTGCAATTCAAGGGAGTGACAAAATTGTTTAAAACACCATCAAATCACACAGGGAACATTCATTATAAAGTAATCAAGTTCATAAAATAGTGTTATTAAAATGCAGGAAAATCTCAGGGACTATTCATGATAATGTGATCAACTGATGTTCTAGTTATGAATATGAGTACCTATACAAACTACATCTCATATACTACACATTAAATGGGGCTGTTTTCCATTTCCAGTATCTGTCAAGATGTAGATACAGAGCTATGCATGACACTCTCTCTACGATTAGGGTAAGACCATTTGACCAAAGCCTTGTCCTTCATTAAGCACTTTGCTCCTATAAACACCCGACCGCCTCCGTGGTCTTGTGGTAGAGCGTCCGCCCGGAGAGCGGAAGGTCCGGGGTTCGATCCCCAGCCGCGTCATACCAAAAGACGTTAAAAGATGGTACTTGTTGTTACCCTGTCTGGCGCTCGGCATTAAGGGGCTAAAACAAGGACTGGTCGGCTCGGAGTCAGTATACTGTGTCTGAGTGGGGTATTCATGTTAAACTGCGGCATGGTATCTCAGTGAGCTAGCACTATAAATCGGCATCAGTCCGGACTAGTACAAGCAGCCACACAAACACACACACGTACATGCACGTCGCTATATAAGTGCAATAATCTTGGACGCGACGTTAAACCCCATTTCACCTCATCTCACCTATGATTAGGGTAAGACCATTTGACCAAAGCCTTGTCCTTCATTAAGCACTTTGCTCCAATAAACACCCCTTACTTACTAAATTTTAAGCACCATGCAAAAAGCATACCTTCCTACCCATCCATATATAGCTTATTCTTTAAGCATTACAAAAGCTACAATTGTCATGATAGCAGTGTACAGGATTTTACAAGAAGAATGGGTTTGTACACCATGAGACAGAAGGTCAAGGTGAGTTCACAATCATTCTGCTCAGAAAATATAGTTTACAATATACTCTGCACTTTCAGGATTGCATGAGTGAGTGAGTTAGGTTTTATGCCGATTTGTACAGTATTACAGTTATATCACATTGTGTCAGCTTGATGTGGGAGGAAAGCCTGAACTGATACAGGTTTTAGACGTTTACCACTTTGGTCAAACCAATGAGTACAGGTATGGTGTTGAGAAACCTCGAAACATAACTGAGGCCAACCGGGATTCAAACCATTTATCACAGATTTCAGGAATGCCCAAGGGACACTACTCTACACAGGAAATTGATCACCTTAGACGACCTGACCCCCATGCCACTTAATAGCAGTGTATAGGATTTTACAAGAAGAATGGGTTGCACGCCATGAGACTGAATGTCAAGGCTCGTACACAAACACTCAGTTCAGAAAATATAGTTTACAAAACCTCTGATACACTATTTTGACTGCATTGTTAGCACTGCACCATTCCTGCTCAAACAGGATACTGAATATTGATCAGATATCACCCTCAATATATATAAACTCAATCAAAACCAAACCAAATCGCTAAACAATTTACAAAAATAAAATCAATTAACTCAGTGTAGGAGAAGAACTGATTTGATGATATGGTCTGCCAATAAATTGACGAAATGAATGGCAATCACTTTCAATTTCACAGAGATGAACGACAGTAAGCTGTTTTATTGACGATAACTTGATATACAATGCTTCAAAACCAACAAATCAGTCTGCAGTCTGCAGGAATACATGGCAGGAAGAGGGTGCTTAAGTCATTCCAGACTGACAGCCCGCTATAACAAATCAATACGTATATGATCCTGTGTGTGCACATTGGTAACGCACTTCCATTGATCGTGCCAGGCCCTCACATGACTTAATGTCATTAGCGGCTGAGTCAGAAATAAGTACATCCCTCACATAGGCAGGGCAGCTATTTAACAGGGGATGTACATGCGCCTCTACTTAGGAGATTAGGGATGCTCGTTAACAAATACTTAGATGTTCGTAAACGATGCTAATGATCATTTTCTTTCCAAATGAGTGTCAGGTATTATGACTTTTTGATGTGGAGACACGT